CTCTATTTCATTAAGGTCAGTTTCTGTAGACTAATCATGTTCTTTTGTTTGGAAGATACTCCCTTGTTTCTTCATATTCCTTGATTCTCTGTGTTGGTTTCTGCACATTAGATAAAACATCTACCTCTTTCAGTTCTAATAGATTGGTTTTGTGTAGGAGATGAATTTCATCAATCAGCCCAGCCTGAGCTCCTGGCTGCTTCTCAAGCTTTTGTGATTATCCAAGCGGCCATCTTTGCTCTTAGTGGCTGCCAGTAGTTGAGGATGTACCAAGACCCATCAGTGACCCAAAGCGGGGAGTGCAGTCAGCACTTAGATGCAGGCTGATTAGAAGCTGGACCCCCAGGCAGTAGCTGTAAAAGTTTGTAGTCATACCTCTTCAGGGAAGAAACTGGGAAATGGGTGTTTTTGCCTGCTCCCTCTGTGCTGAGTCCTGAGGGGATAGCCACAGCACACCCATTAACAACTGATTCTTTGTTTGATATAACCCTGTAGAACTTATGAACATAAACACTGTTGGCTATCAGAGTTAGGTGATTTGGGGGCCTAATCCTCAGGTGGGGTAATTAAAAGTTGGGTCTAGAAGTATGGTCCAGATCCTTCATTCCTCATGGAGAAGTTGGGAGTTGGGGTTCTCTCCCAATTATATGGCACTGTGCTAGGGTTGGGGGTTATGGAGAGAGTGTGTCTCAGCCATTCCTACCTATTTTGATGTGGGTATTTTTTCAGTCACTGTATGTGTAGGAGTCAGTCAGCTAGTTTCTGGATATCTCTCAAAGGGACTTGCTCCATGTATAGCTTTACATTTGGTTCATCTATGGGAGGAGGGAAATTCAGGAACCTTTTATATCACCATCTTGATCCGGAGTCCCCTGGATAATTTTTTTCAATCACTCCATGCACCTCTCTTCCTTATTACCTCCATCTTTCTTTCCTTCCCTCTCTTAAGGAAAAAAAAATTATATTTAAGTTCCCATTAGTCCCATTTATTCAACCATTCAACAAGTATTTGATTTCTTACTATTTGATTGCTGTATCCAAGTCACATTTATGACTTCAGTGTCCTTAGCTGATTTCTTTCCAAATGACTTCTTTAAAAAGAGACATTGGTTTAGCTACTGGTTCCTTAGCCCTCGGCATGTAGAGTCATGTTTCCATCCTTTCTTCCTAGTAAATATGGTAACTATATGGTTCAGGCTTCCATAGGAAAAGGAGGAAGGGTAACTAAAAGTCTGGGGATGTTGGGCCTAGTAACCAGTCCAAACCCCTCTTTCTCTTCTTTTCCTAATGCTATGTATATTTATTTCAGTTGTGCTGATGAGAGGGGTCATTATACCAGCAAGTGTGTGGTGGAGCAGATCTTTGTCCTAGGCCTCAAGAAGCAGCCATCGTCTGTGACCACCCACTCATCTGGTGAGGAAACAAACCATTTATTTTTGTAAACATAGAAATATCTAAGGTGAAGAGGTGATTAGCCCTAAAACTGACAGAATGTCTTAGCCAAGTGGACTCTACACTTCCTGGTAGAGGTCAAATATACTGCTATCCAGAGGGAGCAAGGCCAGCCTGCCTCTCTTCATCAGCTGGTCTTTCTGCGCACTCTAAGCTGTTGATACTTTTCTAAGGGAAATTAACTTGGGCTTGAAATAATAGTGTGGCTTCTCTAACTATTTTTGTTAAACTGTAGATATCTGAAGCCCTACTTGTGTTTATGGAGTTTCTTAAAGAGCATAGGTTGAGATACATCCTTTCTAACATACTGAATTTCTTAGACAAACCACTTTGTTCCTTACAGTTTATTTTCAACTGATCTTGCATTCAAACCATGGGAGTGTTTCATATTTAAAAGTCCATGGGTAAAAATTGTAGGTAAAATTCTCCTAAGTAGGGAATAAAGTTTTATGACAAAGTCAGAAAGATTTCAGATACAAGGAAAGAAATTTTCTCTCCTAGATATTCATCAAACTTTCCCTTTTATTGTCTTGATATTTAGATGGTAAAGATCAGCCTGTGGCTTTTACATATTGTGCCGGAACATCCACCCTGAGCCTGGAGAACCTCTCGCTGAACATTGGCACTGACTGGGAGGTCCACATTAAGTGACAGAGAAGTGCATCTGGTGACGAGTGCAGGGAGCAGCCTGCACCCTTCAGCCTCTCCCTTGGCCTTTTTTGAGATTTGTGCTACACATTAATTGGCTCAAAAAAATCCTTCATTAGTCATCAGTTTACTAATGAACAATAGATTTCAGGTTTTATATTTTTAGATGTATTATTAATACTCCTTGTGTCAAAACACCACCTCTTCTCCTAGATGCAAGGAGCCCTGAGACGTTTATAGAGTTCATGTACCTTTCACTGCTTCTTAGGCTGTGGCCCTGTTGTCAGCACTGTGCCCAGTGAGTGGCTTCTCCTTGAGCATGGCGGTATGGGTTTGTTCCATGTGAGTGTGGCCCATTCATGGCTACTGGTCTCTAGCCATGCAGCAGAGTCACTCTGGCTAGAGCAGCTGCGTTGCTTGAGGCCCATTTCCAAGTGAACAGTAGCCTCCAGGATACCCCACAGTATCTTTCAACCCCTTAGAGGTGGGCAAAGCAACCCTTTTCTGCCTGCACTGCATGTACTATAGCAACAGGGAGTAATTCTCTCTAGAGATTGACTCAGGAGTACAAAGGATTCTTTTCTCAGTCATGCTTTTTGGGCTCCAAAGTTCCAAATTAATCTCAAAATTTTAATTTATCTTAATTGTTTTTATTAAATACTGTCTACTAAGCAAAAGAATATTTGCAGCATGAATAAGCTATAATTAATAATAATTATAAAGTAAATACCCATGTCCCCATCACTGAACTTTACAAATAGAACACATGGCTTTGACCAGGGTAAAGCCAGTGAGGCACTTACCTTGGGCACAAAGAAATGTGTGACACAAAAAAACCGTAGTAATCAAAAGAAATCATATTTAAATGCAACATTTTAAAACTCAAAATTAATGCAAAAAATCCATAATTAACAAAATATCAATATTTTAAATACAGATAGGATCAGTATTACTGAGTTCTCCTTTTGCCTCTGGCTCTAGAACAGCTTGATATGGGATAGAACATTACAACCTACCTGTCCGTCAGGGTGCTCCCTGCTCTGGAGACCTCAGTGACTTCCAGCTGCCTGCACAGCATCGGTTGGGGCAGCCTCACGTCCTCAGCACTCCTCCTCACTCAGCGATTTGTCACCTGTCACTTCTGTGCCTTCTGTTCTCTGGGCCCCAATATCCACCCCCTTCCCTCTGCCTATGCATATCTCACCATCTGACCACCTGTCCAGGCCCAACTCAAATCCTGCTTTTTCACTAAGCCTCTCTAACTACGCTAGACACCCCCGCTCCCCATGAGTAGCGACTTCCCCTTCTCTGAAATCCTGCCCCAGTTACAATATGTGCTCTAACTTGGCATTCTCAGGGATTGTCCCCTAATGTTTCAGATTTGTCTGCCTTTTCCCCTGCTAGATAGTATGTCCCTCAAGAGCATGTTATATTTCTCTTATATCTGCCAGAGTACCATTACACTCGGCTTTCAGTAAGTATTGACTGTAACTGGTTAACTGGTGAATTTGATTGATTAAAAAGTGAGAATTGAATATATTTGTTTCTGATTTACTTTTCTGACAAAGGACTCTTCTCTTTAGAAGTAGTAAACATTGTGGACGTATTTCATTGTATCAGTTGCGATTTGAGTTTTGCACCAAACTCTTCTCTTTAGAAGTAGTAAACATTATGCATTTCCTTGTGGACATATTTCATTGTATCAGTTGCGATTTGAGTTTTGCACCATATATAAGCTTACATAGATATATACAGATTTTTTGCTCCTATTTCTGTAAGTTTTGCAATTAAGGAGAAAGGAAGAAGCCAACATTAGCTTAAGTTTTATTTCCCAGCTTCAAATTTCCCTTGCCTGAAAACTAGGTGCTCTTACCTAATACAAATGATGGGTTTTAATAGCATTTAAACCTAAATAACTAAGACCTACATTCAGATTAACACTTATTGTATATCTGTCCTTCCATTTAAAATCTTTTTGGAGGAAAGAAAGAAACAAGAACTACTAGAGTAAGTTAGTGAGGAACTGCTCTGTCTTGACCCAGAACTATACTGAAACACTTAACCAGAGATATTGAGTGGAGAGAAATGTAGCCTGCGTGTTTTTCATCATTTTCTGCTCTTATTGTTTCTCACATTTTACCCACCTCCTATTTCTGAAGCTATGTACCAGAGAGCTGTGTGGGGCTGAGTTGGCCAACAGCTGTTCTATTACCTTCTAGATCTTCATGTGTTTTCTCAGGAAACTGGTTTTATGTAAGAAACTAGAACCATTTCAACAGAGCTTCAAACAAAGCTCTAAAGTGAATGCATAATGTGTCTTTCCCTCAAGACTTAAATGCCAAGTAATGAGTTGACAAATCACTTTAAAAACAGAAACTGTTTGGAGGGGAAAGGAAGGAGCAAGGTGGGGGAGGGTATAGGGGAGATAAATGGTGATGGGAAAAAATAAAGGAAAAAACAAAACAGAAACTTTCCAATAAAAATATGGGCAAAAGCAATTCACAAAAGAAATTTAAACAGCATGAAAGATGTTCAGCCTCATTAATAATCAAATAAATGATTTTTTTGGCCTGGTTAGCCAAGATTAAAAGTAAAAATGTCCAGTGCTAATGTGTGGGGCATAGGCGTTCTTGTGAATCATTGGTGGAATTTTAAATAAGTATAATCTTTCAGCATGGCAATCTGGCAATTGTACCAAAATTTTAAATTTGTATATTCTAACCCAGTAATTCTGCCCATAAAACCCATACATTGCTCAGAACTACTAATTGTAATGTGGTTTATACTGTGGAAAACTAGAAACAAGGTAAATGTCCTTTAACACAGGATTGGTTAAATATAGCCCTTTCATACAGTAGAATATTATGCAACTAACTATATATATATATGTAACAATGTTTTTTATTAAATGTTTACTTAATGGTTTCCTTTAAGTAAAACTTATAATAAACAAACCAAAATTGAGGAATGTGAAGGCCACAAAAACTGGCCTGAGGAACTGTTGCAGATGGAAGAGGGTCTAAAGAGGCATCACAACAAATGTGTGATCCTAGGCTGGTTTCTGGACCTACAGAAGGCATTATTGGGACAGTTCACAAAATTTGAATGGGATCTTGTGATTACATGGTAATTTTCCTAATTTTAAGGGTGTGCTATGATTATATAGAAGAATTTTCCTGTTTTTAGGAAATATGTACCAAAGTATGATGGATTAAAGGCCATTATATCTCTAACTTACTCCCAAGTGGCTCAGAAAAAATTTATGTATGTATGAGGCAGAGACAGAGACAAAGAGAGAAAATAGGCAAAATGTGTTAAAATATTACAATTGAAGAATCTGGGTGAAGGGTGTACAGGAACCCTCTAGACTCTATTTTCAACTTTCCTATAAGTTTTAAACTACTTTAAAACAAGAAGTTTAAAAGCAGTGGTGCTGGGCAAGTCTCTATATCTGGTATCTTTTAAATGTTTGGTTTAAGGCTTATAAGCTACGGCATGTGAATAGGATGAAAAAATTGAGTTAATTATGAACCCCAGTACAAGAAAATACCTTTATCTCTGATGCTGCAGACTGCTTCATAATCTTCATCAGATCAACTCTTTCTCACCTGAGAATGCTGGACCAAGCCAAATCCTCTACCTCAGGATACCACCCTCTGAGCACCAGGCCATAGCTCCTGACCCGACCCACCTGCACTGTGGTATCACTACATGCTGCTGCACTAGAGAGATGTTGTCTGACCACAGGAGCTGACCGGGGAGTCTTCAGAAGGGTATTTACACTAAGAAATAGACTAGAAAAGAACACATGTTTATGGTGGGCATTTATTTAGGGCAGAAACCCTGGTTAGTGGCCAGGGAAAGTCCTTCATACATTTGGAAGGCCAGTTTGGTCACCTTCCTTCTTGCCCCAGTTCTAGGTCATCCTGCAGACCCTGGCTCTGGTGGACCTGGGGTGGTCAGTTCCTGATAGAAGTGAAACCAGGATGTAGGTTCCACTTAGACTAGGTACTGAGACATTGCCTGCCCAAAGAGGCTGGTTCCATTTAAGATAGACCCACAGGATTAATTCTGTTCTGGGCTACAGCTCACTTCAGAACTAAGTAAACTCCATGGTCATGGACCCAGGTGTCAGCATGGCCAGGGCCAATCCCAGATGCGGCATTCGCCTAAAGGTTCTCTAGAGCAGAAAGCACAGCTTGTCCCCATGGGTTCGCCTTACAGTTGTGCTGAGCCTTGTATCCTGATTAACTAAAACTCGCCAATCAGATCACTAAAGCTGGAGGGGAGACTGCAGTTCTGGAGTTTGGTCTCTGTGCAGAATTCCTTTTTTTCCCATCTCTTTCAGTAACAGGGTATTATAATGATAGCAGAAACACAGTCAAAACACATAATTATCTGGAGCTGAATGGTTTTTAGCTTATAATTGACCATCCTACCTAAAAGCCTTCTTAGTAATGGAATTCCTATCACACTATCAGGCATTTCACTCTGCTTTTAAGATTTCCATCTACCAAACCCTTGGAATGTCCTGCATAAGTCCAACGGGGGCACTCTAGACCGGCAGTCACCAACCTTTCGGACCTCACGGGCCACCAGTGGTCCGCGGACCACCAGTTGGCGACCGCTGCTCTAGACTAAATTTCTCAGCCCAGGAAATAGCCAACAGCAGCTCCACTGGGAACACATTCAATGAGGCCATATAACTAGCATTCTAGGAGAAATAAAGGAGACGCTGGCCTCTGATACCAGATCTGCCTGTCCTATGACCAGCCGTGCTAAAGCCTGCAGAGCCACAGCAAGGCCTGCCAGAATGAGGCAGCTGCGTCCTGACATTTGTCTCCAGCAGGGCTGATGGTATTATATTTCTCTCCAATCGGAGTGAGGGGAAGGGAAGCCCTGACTGTTTACATGCTAAGATCCTATTTCATGTTACTGGAGTCTTTGTCATGCATTTACTCCTTCATTGGAAATCAGGAGACCTGGGGTCCAGTTTGGTTCTGCGATGAACCTGCTTGAGTGATCTTTGCCATGTCCTTTCATCTCTCTAGGCCTTGGTTTCCTCATTTGTTAAAGAGCTAATCTCTAAAACTCATCGAGTTTTCCGTGACTTAACTGTGAAATAACAGCAGATATCTCACGTTTCCTCAGTCGTAAAATGGAAAGGAAAAAAAATGGTAACTTTACTTTGGAGAAACCTGATAGATACCACCTTAGCCAAGTAATCCAGGTTGAGTCACCTGTAATAAAACACATCAATATCATGTACCTCCAGATATGATTTAATGAGAAGGGCACATTACCTCTGTGATATTCTTCCCCCAAATCTATAACTTAGTCTAATCATGTGAAAAACATCAGACAATTCAAGTTAAGGCACATTCTACAATATAACTGACAAGTACTCTTCAAAAGTGCGAAGGTCATGAGAGAGAAAGACTGGATTTGTTAGAGATTGAAGGACACTAAGGAAACATGGTAAATGCAATTCAGGATCCTAATTTGGATCCTGCAACCGAAGGAAATAAAAAACCTTCTTGGAAGTACAAAGAAATCAAAATAGTCTTATAGTTTAGTTAATAGAATTATACCAACACTAATTTCTTCATTTTGATCATTGTACCATGGTTATATAAGGTGTAAACATTAGGGGAAGTTGGGTGAATGGTATACAGGAACTCTATTCTATCTTTGTAACACTTTTGTAAGTTTAAAATTACTCTATGCCCTGACCGGTTTGGCTCAGTGGCTGGAGCGTCGGCCTGTGGACTGAAGAGTCCCAGGTTCGATTCCGGTCAGGGGCATGTACCTTGGTTGCGGGCACATCCCCGGTAGGGGGTGTGCAGGAGGCAGCTGATGGATGTTTCTAACTCTCTATCCCTCTCCCTTCCTCTCTGTAAAAAATCAATAAAATCTTTTTTTTAAATTACTCTAAAATTTAAAAATATTTTTTCTTTATTGTTTAAAGTATTATATATTTACTCTAAAATGTAAAAAATATTTTTTCTTTATTGTTTAAAGTATTATATATGTCTCCTTCTCCCCCCATTGTACCTCTCCCCAGCTACTCCCACCCCCTAAAATTTTTTTAAACTATGTGATTGTGGCTAGCTTATACTAGGCACTTATTGAATGGTAGGTATTATCATTATAAGCAGATACATTGCTTCCAACAGTTGTTGAATCAAAGAAATAATTATTGGTGGGAAAGAAAGTAATATGGAGCCATTAATTGGCCTTGTTGTTCTAATAGAAATAGTTCCAGCCATAAATATTGCATGACCCTGGCTAAAATAAGTTTTAAAACTAGTTCTTTATCCTTGAAGAGGCTTCTGGGAATTGAAATGTGCAGCTGTTATGTGCTTATCTGCCCTTTGTTCATGGGCTCAGATTGGATTTCTCCCTGATAGTGTGCATTTCTACAGCCAGGTAGCTGGATAAAACTTGATTTTGGACCTGCTAATCTGAGAGGGTGTTTTATCCACAGCAATTGGTAGAGCAAAATGAATAGTTCTTTGCACTCTGTGTGTTTGATATTCCCATCCTGCTATGATAAGAGATTCATTCTGTCACACACTTACCTCAGTTGCCAACAGATGGAGCTGGCTTAGACAGCTGAGAAAAGAAAGATCAAAGAGTGTGTGGCCCAGAGGCAGCTCCTCCCCCAGGGGCATATCAGCCGAGAAACTTTCATTGTGTTGGCAAAGCAATCAGAAATCTGTAATACTTTAAACAATAAAGTAAAAAAAAAAAAGAAATGTAAGAAATCTCTCCTCACATAGGGAAATTTCATTCAGCAGTTACGTACGCAACACGGATTTATTAAGAGCCTTCTACACATACTTAACTCTGAGGGTGGAATAGGGACCCGTTCCCACCTTCACAGAGCTTACAGTCTTGTGGGCAGACAGGAAGCTCAATAAACAGAAACAATAAAATGTGGGTCGCTGCTGTGAATTTCAAGGTGGGACAGGCAGAGCACTGAGCTGGGACTCACATGTGTGATGATGGAGAAGAAAACTGCCCACCCCACCCCTCTTTGCTTTCCATGCCATTGGTGAGTTGAGGGTGGAAGACATTCTTTTCAGAGGCTCCTTTAGTGCCGGCAGAGACATGCCTCCGATTGGAGACCTGCGACCACAGGATCCTGGCAGACTGCACCCATCCCGGTGCTGTACACATGGAATACGTTCCTGCTCATAGAGTGAGTGCTGATCTGCACCAATGAGTGGCTGTCTCTCAACCTCATCTAACCTCAAAGTACTATTAAATGCAGGTCATCTCTAACAACATTTATTGAGTGCTTAAGACAATCCTGACACTATTTTACATGTTTTACATGAATTAATTTTTACAACTGCATAGCAGAATGACTATTATTATTCCCATTTTATAGGTGAGAAAATGAGACATAGGAAACGAGGAAGAAATAAGTCACCTAACGTTACACAGGCACAGCCAGTGAGCAGCAGGCCCAGGTGTGCACCTCAGCAATCAACATCCAGAGGCTGCCCTTCTCTGTCTGCCTCTCCAAGAGAGCAGAGGTCTCCGGGCATTTCCTCAGAGGGCCAGGGGGATAGGCGGATGGTTCCTACAGGCCACTCCAGACACAGGGATCCTCCAAACTGCAACCCCAGCGATCAAGAGCCTGGTTGTACTCCGATGGCAGCTGTCGCTCCCCACCTTCCCTCATAGCCTCTGACCTCCGGGAACAGGCTGGGCTGCAGTCTGGGGCAAGCATCCACTGAGCCACACTTGGAACGTGGCCATCTCCTTACAGTCTGAGCAGCAGTCACTGCGGGTCAAAGACAAGGCGGAGGCCAGGCAGGACTCCCCTTTCCCAGAGCCACTGCGCTCTCATCTAAGAGCCCTGAGACCAACTCTTTCCATATGACACGCTGGGACCTGACCACCAGCCTGGTTCAGTATCCAGCCCTGACTCAGATGACTGACGTGGTGTACCTGGATAATGTCTATTCAGATGCACTTTTTGTAATAGACTTGGTCCCAGTGTTTATTTTGGGTGTGGGGATAGACAAGAGGTGGCTAGGTCGAGTGGGCAAAAAGAGACAACTGAGAGGACTCTGCTGAGTCCTCCACCCAGATAGCTCCACTCAATGCTGACACCAGAACATTCCAGAAGATATACCAAATCCAATTGAAATGTTCTGATATCCTAGAGTTTTAGAAAGTAAGTAAAATTGATGCCCTTAAAAATGCCTATTCTAAAATTGAGCATCTCACTCTTGTTAGCTTTTTTTCAATAAAGTTTTCCAGTAATTTGGTAACCAGTAGTTTGATGGTCTGTATAATGGCCAACTCAATAATGCATCAGAAGTTCTTCGCTAATTTTCAGTGTGCAACTTACTCAAATGTTTCCCTTTCATCCCGACAGCACCAGCACTTAACGGCCGCACGTATACGTCCTCGCCGGGTCTCTCTCTCTCTCTCTGCCACGCAGGAGAGCTGCACGCTAGCCTCGCTCTTGCTTTCATACTCGGGATCTTTTTTCATGTCTATTTTTAGTTTTCCTGGTTCAAGCTTCTCCAGGCCACTGAAACACTAGTCTCACTTTCTCTCCGTCTGGCGTGTATGCTGCTGGTAGGAGCCCCCCATGTAAAAATCGGGGCATAAATCCTTTACTGCTCCTTCCTCAGGAAAACATATGGCTTCGGGATCACAGCTCAGTTTTTAAGATGAACGCAAGCTGGACAACCTTCTGATGGGCTTGAAACTTTGAATTGGATGTGGACATTTTTCTCTCAGATGACAGAATCACTCCAACTTCCCCTTTGCAGTTGCTTCCTTTCCTTGAAGGTAGCTGTAACTTGTTTTCTTTAAAAATCTCTTCCTTCCACATTTGCCTGCCATGCCAACAGTCATTAGCCCGTCTGTGGCCCCACAGACAGGGGCTGAGCCCAAGTCCCCAGGGCCGGTTCCCCTCCCGGCCCAGGGCAAGACCACTGAGGCCGGGGGCGCTAACCCAAGTGGCATCTATTCAGCCATCATCAGCCGCAATTTTCCTATCATCGGAGTGAAAGAGAAGACATTTGAGCAGCTTCATAAGAAATGTCTAGAGAAGAAGGTTCTTTATGTGGATCCTGAGTTCCCACCGGATGAGAAGTTCTTCGCTAATTTTCAGTGTGCAACTTACTCAAATGTTTCCCTTTCATCCCGACAGCACCAGCACTTAACGGCCGCACGTATACGTCCTCGCCGGGTCTCTCTCTCTCTCTCTGCCACGCAGGAGAGCTGCACGCTAGCCTCGCTCTTGCTTTCATACTCGGGATCTTTTTTCATGTCTATTTTTAGTTTTCCTGGTTCAAGCTTCTCCAGGCCACTGAAACACTAGCCTCACTTTCTTTCTCTCAGTCTGGCGTGTATGCTGCTGGTAGGAGCCCCCCAGGTAAAAATCGGGGCATAAATCCTTTACTTCTCCTTCCTCAGGAAAACATATGGCTTCGGGATCACAGCTCAGTTTTTAAGATGAACGCAAGCTGGACAACCTTCTGATGGGCTTGAAACTTTGAATTGGATGTGGACATTTTTCTCTCAGATGACAGAATCACTCCAACTTCCCCTTTGCAGTTGCTTCCTTTCCTTGAAGGTAGCTGTATTGGTAACCATAGTTTGATGGTCTGTATAATGGCCAACTCAATAATGCATCAGAAGTTCTTCACTAATTTTCAGTGTGCAACTTACTCAAATGTTTCCTTTTCATCCCCTGACAGCACCAGCACTTAACGGCTGCACATATATACGTCCTCGCCGGGTCTCTCTCTCTCTCTGTCACGCAGGAGAGCTGCACGCTAGCCTCGCTCTTGCTTTCATACTCGGGATCTTTTTTCATGTCTATTTTTAGTTTTCCTGGTTCAAGCTTCTCCAGGCCACTGAAACACTAGTCTCACTTTCTCTCCGTCTGGCGTGTATGCTGCTGGTAGGAGCCCCCCATGTAAAAATCGGGGCATAAATCCTTTACTGCTCCTTCCTCAGGAAAACATATGGCTTCGGGATCACAGCTCAGTTTTTAAGATGAACGCAAGCTGGACAACCTTCTGATGGGCTTGAAACTTTGAATTGGATGTGGACATTTTTCTCTCAGATGACAGAATCACTCCAACTTCCCCTTTGCAGTTGCTTCCTTTCCTTGAAGGTAGCTGTAACTTGTTTTCTTTAAAAATCTCTTCCTTCCACATTTGCCTGCCATGCCAACAGTCATTAGCCCGTCTGTGGCCCCACAGACAGGGGCTGAGCCCAAGTCCCCAGGGCCGGTTCCCCTCCCGGCCCAGGGCAAGACCACTGAGGCCGGGGGCGCTAACCCAAGTGGCATCTATTCAGCCATCATCAGCCGCAATTTTCCTATCATCGGAGTGAAAGAGAAGACATTTGAGCAGCTTCATAAGAAATGTCTAGAGAAGAAGGTTCTTTATGTGGATCCTGAGTTCCCACCGGATGAGACCTCCAGAGTGACTGTCAGGAGCTAATGTTCAGGGACCATAAGGCAAGGGGAGCTCCCCTGATTCAGGGAGAAACCATTTACTCTGAGGCCCAAAGCTATTGAGTAGTTTGATCAAGATAAGCTGAGGCCCAGTGCAATTCATTAGCCATGTTTTTCTTTTTAACCTGAGATGAAATAGCCAACAACCCTGTTCTCACCTTGTGTGTTCCACAGGCTCCTTTCCTCTGCTGACGACTCTGTGGTAAGGCCCAGGACTAGCCCCAGGGCCCTCAGTTTAGAAGTGAGGACTTGGAAGAACTTTATTCTTTTAACCAGTTGCTGCCCTGCTGCTAGGGTACTAGACATGTCACACACACACACACACACACACCTGCCGCCATGCCTTCAGGATAAGTCCAAACCTCTTAGGGGAGATACAGGCCCTTCGAAAGCTGGCCCTGTCCACCTATGCATCTCATCTCCACCCTCTCCCCTTGGACCCTGACATACTCAGCTACTCTGTTGTTCCAAGTCTTCTCATACCCGGAGGCCTTTGCTCATGCTGTCTGTCCATCTGTCTGGAATGCCCTCATTTTCACCTCCTTGCTCCTCCTTACCTTCTCTCCAAAACTCTGTTCAGGTGTCCCTTCCTTCAAGCTTGCTCCTGTCTGTTGCCCGTCTTCTGAGAGCAGGGCCAATCCTCTTCATCTCTGAGCCCTCTTACCCAGCAACGGGCCAGGCCTTCAGGCGGTCCTCGGCTTCGGGTGAATGAAACCCCACATCTGAAGGCGCTGACCCCGAGAATTAAGACAGCCCTGGCTGCCAAGGCTGGGAGTAGCTAAAAGCCTTTTCCAACATTACTACAGAGAAAAAGCAAAAAAACATACTGTTTTTAGTAGCATCATTGGTGGATTTTAGCCTTAAAAGCTAGATTTACATATTAATAAAAATGTTTTAAGGTTCTGTTATACTCTAAGCTCTAGATCAGTCCTAAAGTTATACTGTCAGTATCAGTGTGACATGAGGAGCACTGACACACCTGTCTGTCCCAAGCTGTGCTCCCACCACCACCAAAAGTCCTGAATTTTCTACTGTTGTTAAAGGTCCAGGCAGCAAAGCCCACTCTTGGTTAAAATGCGCCTTTCCCCTGAGGTTAAGATCAGGAGAACACTGCCTGTCGGGTTTATTAGCATAAATTAGCATACAGAATTAGAGATGGTCAGAGTTGGAATGAATCTTAGAGATGTGGTCTAGCCCCCTCACAGACAGACGGGTGAAGTGATTAACACATTGCATACCGCTCACGAGTTTTCGCGTGTTTCCCGCGCCATCTGTTAAGGACCGCTCACGAGTTTTCTCGTTGGTGAAGTGATTAACACATTGCGTACCACTCACGAGTTTTCGCGTGTTTCGTGCGCCATCTGTTAAGATCCAGAAAGAGTAAATGACTTATCTATAGTCACACACGTTGATTGAAGTATCCAGAAAGAGCAAATGACTTATCTATAGTCACACACGTTGATTGAAGTTGAAAAACGGGAATGACTTCAGAACTTTCTGAAGGGAGAGCACTCTTCGGGGACACATGTTTTCATGTGCTCCAGAGGTGTAGGGACGTTGGCCAGACTTGAGCATTCTGGAAAGGAGACTGTGTCCTATGAGAGGCCCTTCCTGCTTTTACAATCTAATGCACAGAATCATTGGAAACCAATATGACTTTTTTTCACAATAAAGTATTACTTATTCCAATCAGATGAGGAGGAGGGCAGAGCTATTCACAGCCAGCGATAATTCTAGTTAGGATGACATGCTGCACTTCCAATCCTTCCCTCCCAAAAGAAGATAGACTCGGGCCACCTGTAATCTCACCTGCTGACCTGAGCTACCTCACTGCCTCTCCTTCTCTGTTAGAGAGCATCGTGCAGTGCGTCTGCAGGCCAAACAATCTGACTCCTCCCCCTTTTCTAAGGTGATCTGTTTCTAGGAGCAGGAAGCAAACAAAATACTTCCCACATAATACTTCCCAATCGTTAAGCCACATTTTCTTAAGGACAAACCCCTGGGTGGGGAAGAATGGCTTCTAGAACAGAGCTTCTGGGAGACTGATGATTCTTGCCCAGTATCACTGGGGACAGATGTGGGGGGATCATGTGTGTCGTTCTGTGTGGTGGGCGGCTTCAGTCACACAACACTGCTGGCCTCTCTCCTCCCCTGGGTGGATTTGTAAAGAGAGCCCGGCCTGCGAAGCCCAGTCTTCTTCCTTTTTCCTCCTGGGAGCAATCTACCTGCTCCTCCTCCTGCCAAGTTTTGCTGAGGCAGGTCCCATAGGGAGCCCTGTAGGGGGCCTGGGCCACCTGCCACTACTGCTGGTGAACAGTAATGATGACAACCAAACTCGATTGAGAACTCCTGGTATGACAGTAATTACTTTAAGGGCTGCCAAGTTTTGCGGAGGCAGGTCCCATAGGGAGCCCTGCAGGGGGCCTGGGCCACCTGCCCACTACTGCTGGTGAACAGTAATGATAACAACCAATCTCGACTGAGAACTCCTGGTATGACAGTAATTACTTTAAGGGCTTCCTTATATTACCTCATTCAATCTTCACAACAACCCTGTGAGGTGAGTACTAGTATTGTCCCCACTTTACAAATGAGGAAACTGGGTCTCAGAGGGGTAAATAACTTGCTGCAGATCTCCCAGTTAGTAAGGGTGGAGTTGAGATTTGAACTCAGGCAATCTGGCCCCAGCGCTTAATAATGAAATCTATCTAGTTCTGGGACTTAGAAGCCAATATTAGATTTATCAACAATAAATGTGGCATTTTGGACTCCCTCCTGCTCTACACTGATACCTATTCCTCTGCTGGTTCAAAACTCAGGCATGGAAATGAGGTGGCATTTATTGGGCCTCCACAAGCTACAACAGGCATTGAAGGACACCTCAGGGTTTGGCCCCCGGAAGCAGCAGGCTCTGTGGGCTGGAGATAGAATAGCGCAGTGGCTAAGAGCCCAGTCTCACCTACGTTCAAGTCCTGGCCCTGCTACTTAACACTTGGGTAATCATCATCATGTATTTTTCTCTTTGCCATAAGGTCCCCATCTGAAAAATGGGGTATAATCATAACAGAAAAACCTACCTCATAAGGTTGTTGTGGAGATTAAATGAGTTAATGCACACCCAAGGCGTAAAGGGTGCCTGGCACATGAATGAGTGCCCCGTAAACATGTTGTGCAGTCTTATCACCGCCTGCATCTGCTGTGCAGTCTCCAAAAGAGGCAACACATCTTTCCAGCTTAATTTGTGTCCAGGACCAATCAACAGCCCTGGCTGGTATAGCTCAGCAGTTACAGCATCGGCTCACACACTGAAAGGTCTCGGGTTCAATTCCCAATCAAGGGCACCTACCTGGATTGCAAGTTACATCCTTGGCCCTGGTCAGGGGTCATGTGGGAAGCAACCAGCCAATGTGTCTCTCTCATATCGATGTTTCTCTGTCTCCCTCTCCCCCCTCCCTCCCTATCTCCCACTCTCTCTAAAAAAACAATGGAAAGAATATCTTCAGGTGAGGATTAAAAAAAAAAATATCTAACCACAGCAATATGTTTGAGTACTTCATGCTTGATCTAAATGAATCAGTCCAACCAAACATGAGGGTATGTATGTGAACAGGCCCCTCATGAGCACATGACTGCTTGTTCTTTAGGACAATTCCAGTCATTCACATTAAATACAGAAATGTGTGTTTTATTATGGAAATGCAAGTACCAAACACCTCCATTTCTCCCCCAGCTCTTCCCCTAGGAAACCTGCTCTCCCCCCTCTGCCCTCCAAGCTCCTGGGGCTGAAAGCTGGGACGCTGCATTTTCTCTTTGCAACTTTTTGCTCAGCTTTCTGTTTCCATTGGCTGTTGGGGGTTGGGAGAATCTACCTCCCTCCCTTATCTTCAGATCCAGTGCTTTATACTTTGTTGGCAGTTACTGGGCCTCCAGGTCATAGGCTGCCTAACCTACCTCTTCCCCTCAAATCCTGTTCGCATCCCTCTGTCAGGCCTCACCTTTTGCTAGGGCAGAGCTGGGTCTCGTCTTCACCCACATTTCTCCGGTGTGTGCCTTCCCTCTTTGCTGTTGTTATGATTACAGCCCCATATGCCGCTGTGCTTTGCCTGGTTGGTCTAACCTGGTTCTTGGCCCTGTTCTTCCCCACAACCTGGGTCAACTAGTCCCCTCTGCCAACACCTGGACCTGAGGAAACCTTCTCCCAGACAGACAGCAGCCTCTTTGTATTCCAAGCAAGTGACTTTATTCCCTATAGTTCTCATACCTGGAAATCCCTTGCATTAGACTCTTTTTAAGGATAGAGTTTATGTAAGTTTCCCAAGCTGCAATTCCACATGAACCATATCTCACCAAGTCTAGAAGGTTTGGGTACTGGTACTTTCCTGATCTTATCAGGTGTCCAAAGAAAGTCATGACCGCCACCCAGCTGAATGCAACTGAAGGGAGCTTTTAATGTAAGATGCATCACCACTTCAGAGATACTAAAATGTGAGGGGGGTGCTTTAGAATGGAAAAATAAGCCCGGTCAGTGTGGCTCAGTGGGTGAGCATCAACCTATGAACCTGGAGGTCACGGTTCGATTTCTGGTCAGGGCACAGGCCCAGGTTGGGGGCTCAATCCCCAGTGTGGGGTGTACAGGAGGCAACTGATCCATGATGATTCTCTCTCATTGATGTTTCTATCTCTCTCTCTCTCCCCCTCACCCTTCCTCTCTGAAATCAATAAAAATATACTTTAAAAAAAAGAAAAAGAAAACAAATAAGACCCCTTTGTTATTTAATGCAGTTCTGCCATCTCCTTCCTACTCCTCTTCCCAAACCAATTCTTTCGCCCCCACTGCCTATCATGGACTCAACCATACCTGCTGGGTTTTGTGCTGTCTGTCTGACTTGGTCTCCTGCCCCTTTCTGCGTCGTCATCATGCAGGCAGAACCAACTCCTCCCTTGTCCCAAGACTCTTACACTAGTGGAGGGTGGGGGGGATTCATCACATTCTTCAGATGAGGTCTTGTCACTACTGCAAAATTATCTTTGATTTTTTTGCACCTGTTTAGCCAAATGTGCTTAACAAATGTGAACCCTTAGCATGGCAGACTCTTCCATTTCTCTCTTCAAGAGGGAAACTCATAAGGAAAAGTTAGGAAGATACTTGAGATTACAGAAAAAGTAATTTCTCTCTGGGAGTGGACATGATTGTTTTCTATGGAGAAAAAAATTTAATTGCCGTTTACTTATAAAAGGAAGAGAACCAGAAACCAAAGAGGGATGGGGGGCACAGGGCAGGAGGCCACACGCCCCAGTGTCATCCCTCCCTTGACCTCAAAAGTCTTTACTGATGATGAACTTGTGAAATGCCTGAGGCAATTAACTTTGGGGTAAAGGGCGGAAGTTAGTACCTTGATTTTTACAAGCAGGACTGAGCCAACACACCCGGAAGTCAGAGTGTGGAAAGCACAGGGGTGGAGAGAAAGAAGGAAGCATAAAGAAGCAAACTGCCAGGAACCCACTGAACCCTGGTGGGGTGAGGAGGCCTTGCCCTCTCAGAGGCCATGAAGTGGGGGTGCAACATCTCCAAGGAACTGGGAGGCCCCGGCTAACACCTGGGCAGCATTCTGCTGAGGAGAAGCTGACGCTTGCTTTACCATTTTCATCCAACCTTCAACTTTAAATGATCACCATCGGAACTATTAGAAGTTTATTACATTCTCCCAGAACACAGGAATATAGGTTTAAAACTGCTATTAAAAACTCTTATACATCATAAGATTGAAAATGTTTGGGAACTGCTTCTTTCAGCTATTTCAGATAAGCGGTGCCCCGTCTCCTTCAATAACCATTAGTTAGTATCTTTCACAGTCTGAAAAGTCGTCCTAATTTCTAGCCAGAACTCTTCCAGCCACAATTTTAGCACATTATCTGTAGCTCAGAACCAGAAGACGGCGAAATAGTCGGCTGACTTCCTCTGTATGATAATTCTCCCTACTCGTGAATAACGTCATCCTTCCTTTACTTGCTTTTCAGCTCGAATACTCGTAGACTCCTCTAACTTTACTCCCTAGGTATGATTTTTTTCCAACGCTGGGGAGGTCCGTGCTATGATCCATATTTAGTCGATCCTCATTATTCATGGATACTTGTGAACTCACTACTCACTAAAATGTCCTTGCAACCCCACAGTCAGTACCCGTGGTCATTTGTGGACGTGTGTAGGGCAGTGGAAAATTTGAATCACCCTCAGAGCAGGTTCCCAACTGAAGTCAAACAAAGCGACACTCTGCCTTCTTATCTCAGTCCTTTTCACAGTCTATTTAGTGTCACATTTTTCATATGCATGTGCTTCTTGTTGGTGATTTCTCTGTTTAAAATGTCCCCCGAGCCTAGTGCTGAAGTGCTGTCTAGTGTTCCTGCGTTCAAGGAGGATACGATGTGCCCAAGAGAGAACATGTGGGTGTTAGATAAGCTTCATGCAGGCATTAATATGGTGCCGTTGGCTGTGAGATCAATGTTAATGAATCAATAATATATAGTGGATCAGGCATCTTTAAACAAAAACACACATAAAATAAGGCTGTGTAATTATCCGTTGATGAAAATGTGTGATCAGAGAGACTCCCAGGAACCTAGTCCTGTGTTTCCTCCAGGAGCAACAGCTCAATATTCACTAAGTCAGTGTTCACAGCGACTTTATAGAACGTAGCTACTATGAGCAAAGAGAATCGCCTGTATTTCCTATGTGCTCTGTGTTCTTAAATATCCCAACTCGAAACAATACTCCAGAGTGTGAACAGTATGAAACACGGCCACACATTTTAATCCATTCCAGTCATTATTCTTTTTGATGTTTAAATTGACCAGTCTTTGAAGAGTGGGAACAGCCCCGCCCCGGCCCATAAGTGACCTGTATCATTGACATGACCCCATTCATCTTGAATAGCGTCTTTGTTTTCTGGCCACAACACGGAGGCCCAGGCTCATTTTGTTTAGTTCTTGGCCCAGACCTGGAATGAATCATTTCTTTAAGGAGCCGGGTTCCTTTTAGCCTGAAATGGAGTTAAAGAAAAGGGGTGAAATGTAGAGGATAGCTGACCCCCAACTTCCTAGGACCCAGTGCTTGGCCGTTACATCAGCGCTCTTAAGTTGGAAACCTCCTGCAACCCGTGCTGACGCAAAGGTCTCCTGCTCTAAGGGCATCTTCCCTGTGCCCCATGGACTCTATAATTAACACTCCACCCTGTGCATCGTCCCAGCTAAGAGTTCACTTGACCTGTTACTCAATTCTGAAAGAAGAAATCTAGGTTAAAATAAATTACTCCATGCCAGTGTGAGATGAGAGGAAGGGAACAGAAGTACAGAAACACCCAGGCTGTGCGCAGTGAGCCCTCTGTCCTTAGGGCACAGGACACAGTCACTGTGTAGCTTCTTCTCTCAGGGACATTATTTATCTTTCCAGTGAATTGGGCTTGGCAGGAGGTCTGCTTGTAATCTGTTTTAGAGAGTCATCTTCTGTCAGACAGTTTAGAGAGAAGTGGGATCCCTAGGCTCGCCGCAAAGAGGAAGAACTGGGGGCATTGTGCAGAGTGTTCAGACGGCTGTATTTAGAACCAAACAAACCTGGTCGGAGCCCTGGCTCTGCCACTAGCAAGTCATATTACTCTCTAAGTGTCATAATGGGATAATGATATTTTATCTTGTGGCTGTTCTGAGCCAGCATCCATAAAGTCTAGTAGGTGCTCAAGGTAAGGCAGCAATTACTATTAGCAAAGGACGCAAGTATAACAATGATGAAGTGCACAGGCTTTAAAGGTCAGACAAACTTGATTCAAATCCCAACTCCACCTCTTAACAATGTAACCTCAGGCAAGTTACTGACCATGCCTGGGCCTCAGTTTCCTCATCTGTGAAAAGAAAATAAAAGATTCTCCGTCATAAAGTTGTTTAAGAATTGAATGCGCCGAAACTGGTTTGGCTCAGTGGATAGAGCGGAAAGGAAATATAACACAGGATACCACCTAGCTAAGAAGTGAATAATATTTTCCTAATAATACTAAAGAAAACACTGAATTTTAATTTTACCAACATGTATGATATAACTATTTGGGGAAGATTGTGGACACAGTACAATGTGAGAAGCCTAAATCTCACTCACCAAATAGGAATTCTATTGATACTTGCTAAAAATAATAAATTAAAAAGTAATATTTTAAGCATAGTATTTAGAAATATAGCAGCAAATACCAGAAGAATGAGCTAAAAAATTTGAAAGTGGCTGTCTCTAAGGAGAGAGATTTGCAGGTGGTGAGGATTTGCAGGGCAGGAGACTGCTATTTTTCTATGTACTTTTGTATTTTGTATTTTTTAAAACCTTGTTCATGTATAAACTGAACAAAAATAACTGATTTTCTTAAAATAACTGATCTCGCCCAGCCAGTGTGGCTTAATGGTTAACATCAACCTATGAACAAGAAGGTCACAGTTCAATTCCTGGTCAGGGCACATGCCCGGTTGCGGGCTTGATCCCCAGTGTGGGGTGTGCAGGACAGCTGATTTAAGGATTCTCTCTCATCATTGATGTTTCTCTCTCTCTTTCCCTTTCTCTCTGAAGTCAATAAAAATATATTAAAAAGAAAAGAACTGACTTCAAAAGTTATTTTGCCTTGGCCTGGTAGCTCAGTTGGTTAGAGCATCGTCCCCTATGCCAAGGTTGTAAGTTTGATCCCCCGGTCATGGCACATACAAGAATCAACCAATGAATGCAAAAATAAGTGGAACAATAAATTGATCTCTCTCTCTCTCTCTCTCTCTCTCTCTCTCTCTCTTCCTTCCTCTCTCTCAAACCAACAAATAAAAATTTAAAAATAAGAAATTTTTAAAAACTATTTTGAGCTTTTATAGTACCCTGTAATGCTAAAGTCATGGTTTCAGACTCTAGTGGACATAAGAATCTCCTGGTATTCTCATTTAAATTGCAAAGTCCCAGACTCTTAGCAAAAGTATTTGAATCCTTGGGTCTGGAATGAGCCCTCAGAATCTGCATTTTAAACTGACATCCCAGGTGATTCTGATGTTGGTAGTCCACAGACCACACTTTGAGAAGCACAGAATAGACGAAGGCCGACAGGAGTTAATGAGTAAAGGGAGACAGCATCCTCCAAGTGGGCAGGCTGCCAGACCTGAGGTTCCACTTGCATCAGCTCCCGGCTCTCACTCAGCACTGCCCGTTGATGCATGGTGAGACTTTGAAAAGGCTGAGCTTTCTTGTGAATATAATCCTGACACACATTTATCCTCCTTCCCCACCCATCACATTCTCTGCCTCATAGGTCCTGAATTTGCAAGTGTGGATGTCTGTTCACTGCCACTGGGGCCCACTCTAACAGGGACTTTCATTTGAGGTTGAGTCACCTACTTTCGTGGTCCCTCTAGCAGATTAGAGTCCCTAAATGGCCAGTCAAGGTCTTTGGGGGGATGGGGCAGGGACATCAGGAGAATGAAGGCTTCATTAACCTCAGACAATGGCTTGGGGCAGATTCCTTCTATGCATTCAGCAGCCTGTTTAGGATTAGTGTATACAGCATGTTTTGAAGGCCTCCAGCTATATCCCATTGGCCACCAGTGTCAAAGGTGGGAATGCCTTTTGCTGAGACAGGGTAAGCCTCTCTCTAACTATATTTTCTCTTTTTTTAAAAAGAATCCCAGCCCTAGCTGGTTTGGCTCAGTGGGCAGAGCGTTGGCCTGCAGACTTAAGGGTCCCAGGTTCGATTCTGGTCAAGGGCACGTGCCTGGTTGCGGGCTTGATCCCCGGTAGGGGGCGTGCAGGAGGCAGCCAATCAATGATTCCCTCTCATTGTTGATGTTTCTATCTCTCTCTCCCTCTCCCTTCCTCTCTAAAATCAATAAAAATATATAATAAATAAGTAAATAAGTAATCCCAGCAAGGCTGAGGGAGGTACCCTAAAGATCTAACAGGCTATTGTGGCCTGTCCTGGGGCTGTCCCTGGCTCTCTCACTCCCCTTGCTAGCTCTCCGACTGGCCTGGTGTTGCCCCTTGACTGTGGGCTCAGGGGCCTCCAGCCCAAGCTGCTGACTCTGACCACACCCTCGCTCTGGGCTGCGTTCATTTGCATCGAGTTGCTGAGGGTGGAAGGCTAAATAGGCTCCAACCCATTCATGAGAGGATTAGGTCTGGACTGAGGGCGAGGTGAAGGCCCAGCTCCACTCCCTGAGCCGTCACCATGCCCTACATGCTGCCAGGATTCTTCTGTGAGCGTGTGATCCGGGAGAGGGGCAGGAGAGACGGAGAGGGCACTGTCACACAGCCCCTCAGGTTCGAGGGGCAGGATTTTGTCATTCTCAAACAACGCTGTCTGGCTCAGAAGTGCCTCTTTGAAGACCATGTGTTCCCAGCTGGTGTTCAGGCCCTGGGTTCCTATGAGCTGAGCCAGAAAACCAAGATGAAGGCCATCACGTGGAAAAGACCAAAGGTAGGGATGGGAGCTTTGATGCTTCAACAGACAGCTCCCGGGCAGGAGGTCAAGTGGCCCAGAGCCTGAGGCCATGGATCCTCACTCTGAGCAGGTGGCTTTATCAAGGTTCTCCTGCCCAGGTGCCCTCAGAATGCCTTCCTGCTTCCTCCTGAAATGGATGTCATGTTCTGTTCCTGAGTTAGAGGTGGTTATAATATTTCATAGGTCCCTGAGACTGTAAATACCTTTAAGAGAGCTAATGCACTGACTTAAATTTATAGTAAAATAGTAAATGTAATTGATTATCATGTCTCTTCTTAAGAGCGGGTATTCTGGGGATGGGAGCGTGGGATTAAGAATACTAAGGCTCACCGTTTCAAGGAGAGATCTGTGCAAGATGGTGAACAGTTAGGAAACAGGAGGCTATGTTCTGCCTCCTTTTATTCACATAAAGTATTGAGAATTCTGCATGGAAACTTTTTCTATTCTCTCCATTTATGTATGTATTTAATCACTTATTTATTTCAGTGTGGACTCGTGGATAGTTATTTTGTATTTTGTATTGTGATCAAATATTGCTTTATTTTCTTGCTCTCATTATTAGCCATTAGAAGTTCTTTCAGTTGACTCCTATCCCTTTGACATATCCTTATTGCTGTGAGGGTTATTTTCTTTTTCTTTATTGATTAAGGTATTACATATGTGTCCTTATCCCCTCATATTGGTTATGCTTATATGCATGCATACAAGTCCTTCGGTTGATCTCTTACTCCCCTCCCTTCTGCCCCCCAACCCTCTCTGGCCTTCCCGCTGCAGTTTGACAATCAGTTTGAGGCAGCTCTGCCTCTGTATCTATTATTGTTCAAAAGTTTGTAATGGTCTTTATTATCCATGAATGAGTGAGATCATGTGGTATTTTTCCTTCATTGACTGGCTTATTTCACTTAGCATAATGCTCTCCAGCTCCATCCATGCCGTTGCAAATTGTAAGAGTTCCTTCTTTTTTACAGCAGCATAGTATTCCATCGTGTAGATGTACCACAGTTTTCTAATCCATTCATCTACTGATGGGCACTTAGGCTGTTTCCAGATCTTAGCTATGGTGAATTGTGCTGCTATGAACATAGGGGTGCATATATCCTTTCTGATTGGTGTTTCTGGTTTCTTGGGATATATTCCTAGAAGTGGGATCACTGGGTCAAATGGGAGTTCCATTTTTAACTTTTTGAGGAAACTCCATACTGTCTTCCATAGTGGCTGCACCAGTCTGCATTCCCACAAGCAGTGCACGAGGGTTCCTTTTTCTCCACATCCTCTCCAGCACTTGTCTTTGGTGATTTGTTAATGATAGCCATTCTGACAGGTGTGAGATGGTGCTGCATTGTCGTTTTGATTTGCATCTCTCAGATGATTAGTGACTTTGAGCATGTTTTCATATGTCTGTAAGGGTTATTTTTTCTTTGAGTGCTTTCTTACTTTCTGATGCTATAAGATGCTCCAGTCTCATTTTATGTATTTCCTGCCACACCCCTAGAATCAACATTTCCCCATGGATCCCTGGTACCTCTTACTGGAAAAGTATTAGAAACCAAGAGCAGAAACTAGGTGTGCTCATCATTTCTGGGGTGTCATTGCCATCGTCTCTCTCAGTTGATAGACAAAGGAATTCCTTGAAACTTCTTCTCTGACCAATGTGTTATTTAGATGTGCTGTTTACTTTGTAAACATCCTGAGGTTTCCAGTTTTCTTATTGATTTCTAGTTTCATTCTGCTGTGGTCTGAAAATATACTTAGTATGAGATCTATTCTTTTAAATTTGTTGAAGGGTGTTTTATGGCCCAAAATGTGGTCTATTCTTCCATGGGATATTGAGAAGAAAGTGTATTCTGCTATTATTGAATGGAGTAGTCTATAAATGTCAATTAGATTAAGTTGATTTATAGTGCTGTTCAGGTCAACTATATCCTTAATGATTTTTCTGCCTCCTTAATCTATAATAACTGAAAGAGAGTGTCAAGGTCTCCAAATATAATACTAGATTTATCTACTTCTCCTTTCAGATGTGTCACTTTTTGCCTCATGTCCTTTAACACTCTGTTGGTAGGTGTACCCACCTTTAGAATTGTATGTTTTCTTAGAGAAATGACTCCTTTATCATTATGTAGTATCTCTTTATCTCTGATAATGTTTCTTGTTATAAAATTTGCTTTGTCTGAAATTAATACTCCAGCTTTCTTTTGATTAGTGTCAGCATGGTAGATCCCTCTCTAGCTATCCGAATCTTTGTATTTAAAGTAAAATTTTTAGCCCAGCCAGTGTGGCTCAGTGGTTGAGCATCAATCTATGAACCAAGAGGTCATGGATTTGACTCTGGTCAAGGGCACATGCCCAGGTTGCAGGCTTGATCCCCAGTAGGGGGTGTGCCAGAGGCAGCCGATCAGTGACTCTCTCATCATTGAAGTTTCTATCACTTCCTCTTTAAAATCAATTAAAAAGTATCTTTTAAAGTAAAATTTATATATATATATAACATATAGCCGGGCCTTTTTAAATCCACTCTCATGATCTTTATCTTTTAATTGGTGAATTTAAAACATTAATATTTAAGTTATTATCATATAGTTGGGTTAGTATCTACCATGTTTGTAACTATTTTCTATTTATTGCAATTGTTCTTTGTCTCTCCCCTTTCCTGCCTTCTCTGGTTTAATTGAGTATTCTACGTGATTCCATTTTATCTCCTCTCTTGCGTATATCAATTATGGTTCTTTTTTACAAATATGATAATGGTTAGAGTTTCCAATATACATTTAAAACTAATCTAATTCAACCTTCAAATAACACTACACCATTATACTGTATATGTAGTCTAGTATCTTAGAAAATTTCCCATCCTTCCCTTATGACATTACTATTGTTCTTTTACCTTATTCATATGCTATAATTACTCAACACATTGTTACTATTATTACTTTAAGCAAAGTTATCTTTTGATTAAGAGTAAGAAAAGATGCCCTGACCGGTTTGGCTCAGTGGATAGAGCGTCGGCCTGCAGACTGAAGGATCCCAGGTTCGATTCCGGTAAAGGGGCATGTACCTGGGTTGCGGGCACGTCCCCAGTGGGGAGTGTGCAGGAGGCAGCTGATCGATGTTTCTAACTCTCTATCCCTCTCCCTTTCTCTCTGTAAAAAATCAATAAAACATATATTTAAAACAAAACAAAACAAAAAAAACCCCACAAAATCTACAAATTATCTCAAAATTTTAAAAGTAAAAAAACAAAGCACAAGACACAGCCAAACAAAAATTAAAGCGCCTTGTGTTGGCCTCTGTTGGGCACACATAACGGCTGGGGCAGAGGTGCCCGGCTGGGCTAACGTAAATAAAGAAGTGCGCCGCCCCCCCCCCCCCCCCTCGCAACAGAAGTGGAGGCTTTTGAGGCACATGCCAAATTCACTCTCTGCTCTCCTCAGTTCTCAAGTTCTGTGGGCCCTGGGACGTTTGCTGACTCTAAATATCTATTACCATCTTGGGAGAAAGATCCTTATTTTCCCTCCGGCCCTTTTTTCCTGTCATAGAACAAAACAAAACAAGAGCCACGCTTTCTCTTGTCCCTTTGCCAAAGATGTGGCAGTAAAGACACTGCCCTCTGAGGGGCATCCTTAATAAGACAGTATGTCAGTGTGAGGAGGGAGCCGTGTGGAACAATGGGAAAGGGGGCATGCTTTCGGCTTCTACCACTTACTGGCTGTGTGTCCTTGGGCAAGTTTCTTACCATCTCTGAGCCTTGGTTTCCTTACCTGAAAAATAAGAATGATGGTATCCAACTCACAGGATGTTTTTGGAGGCTTAAATTAGTGGCGTGTATGTAATACTCCTGGCACACAGTGCCAGTACTACATAATGGACCTCAATAAAGAATAGCTACAGGCCTAGCTGGTTTGGCTCAGTGGATAGAGCATCAACCTGAAGACGAAAGGGCCCTGGGTTCGATTCCGGTCAAGGGCACATGCCTGGGTTGCGGACTCAATCCCCCTGGGACATTCAGGAGGCAGCCGATCAATGATTCTCTCTCATCACTGATGTTTCTATCTCTCTCTCCCTCTCCTTTCCTCTCGGAAATCAATAAAAATATATATTTTTTAAAAAGCTACTACTGCTGTTATTCTCTGCTTTTTGTTTCACAGGAAATTTGCGAGAATCCCCGATTTATCATTGGTGGAGCCAACAGAACTGACATCTGTCAAGGAGAATTAGGTAGGAAGGTCCCTCAGGTCATATCCAGCCGAACGATCCAGGGGCAGTTAAAAGGTGTGATCCCTTTACAGGAAATAAAGGGACGGTAATCTGTTTTTATTGTTAATGAATTTTGGGGGCAGGTTTTTATATTATTTTATGTGCTGGTGATTGCTTCATTTAATTTCTGTGCCTCCCACGTCTCTTGTTCTTTGCCATGTGTCACAGGAAGTAGACCTCCTTCCACAGCCTCCCTTCTAGAGTCTCAAGGACAGGCACACATCCCACTCAGCAAGACAAAGCCCTGCTTTTGACTGTTCGCATCTTCCTTAAAAGGCAGCTCTGAAACCGTCTGCGTACCAAGCATGGCCCTTGGGAACATAGAATCTGTATATACACACAAAACGCATTACCAAAAAGAGCACTTGAAACTGGAACTCTTGTTTAAATTGCCCCAGAATAACAGCTCCTTATTAAAAGAACCTTTCAGCCTTGGTGGGAAGCTCAGTTGGTTAGAGCGTTGTCCCAATATGCCAAGGTTGCAGGTTTGATCTCTGGTCAGGGCACTTACAAGAGCAACCAATGAATGCATAAATAAGTAGAACAACAGATATTTCTCTCTCTCTCTCTCTCTCTCTCTCTCTCTCTCTCTCTCTCTCCCTCTCTGTCATACACACACACACACACAGAGCAAAGTGTCGCCTCTGACTACATATAGTGCTCTGCCAGAAAGGAGGTTCAGGAAGTAAGAAAATGTCCCCTTCTCATTCCATTGCCAGCAATGTCTTAGCGCCCCCTGCAGACTGGTTCCAGAGCAGCTGCCTAACAACTCCTTACAACACAAACCCGCTTGACTGGTGCCTCTCAGATGCCCAGTCTCCACTGAGGTCAGAGGGGAAATGGACTCACATTGCAAAGATACAGGGCAGGGCGGAGTTCCTACAGGTGTTCTGAAGAACGGCCCAACTATGACCTACTGCCCTGCTTACACTGAGGCCCAGAAAGGAAATGAGCTAATATTGCAGTTGGAGGAATTGCCCACAGCTTTCAGGAAAACCACTGGGGAGGGTGTAAGTTGCCCTACTGGTCGCATTGTCAAGGGACTGCTGTGGAACTCCTTCTCTGGTTGACACCTCTGTAAGGTCAGGCCTGGAGGTAGGACAGTCAGCACCACTTGAACTGTGCTCTTCAGAGAAGTGGAGCAGCATGGCCGGGAGGGACGGCCCCCCCTTTGACCTGTGCCCCGTGTTTGCCTGCAGGGGACTGCTGGTTTCTCGCAGCCATTGCTTGCCTGACCCTCCACGAGCACCTGCTTTTCCGAGTCATACCCCATGATCAGAGTTTCATCGAAAACTATGCAGGGATCTTCCACTTCCAGGTAAGGTCCTGGGGGTGGCCAGCGACAGTTCGCTCGCCACTAGTCTCCTGGCCTTGTCTTTCCTGTGGCTGTGGGCAGTGGTCCCCTTAAGGCCGCAAGCCTGTGCGGAAGCAGTTGTTTATTTCTGCCCTTCACACTCCCCCTCACACACCTTCCGCTATGCCCCAGAAAAGCAAGAAGACATCCTGTTTGTTGGACTCTGGGTCTATTTTTGCCTCTCCGGCTGGCTGGCTGCTCTGTCATTACCCATGGCCCTTCTCAAGTAGGCCCCTGAGATATTAGCATGGAGAATCCTTAAAGGAAGCCCCATCGACAACGGTGGCTTCTGTTTATTTGTTTCTATTTAAGGCAGATCTACCCCAAGTCTATCACTCACCTCTCCTAGGCTCTGGAAGGAAAGTCTGGTTAATCTGGGGACTAGGTCTCTGGTTTGGCCCAGAAATGAGTCTGAGTTCCAGCATCAATTCAGCCATTGGACATTTTCTGGATCCAACATGTCTTGGCATAGAGCCAGATCTGGTGCTGGCCCCAACAGAGTGAGTTCTACATGTGGGGGTCTAGCAGATACCAGGGTTCTGAGGCATCCATCTGTCTCCCACCCTAAAGGCTCCAAACATCTTGATTGGCCTAAATCATTGGTTGACGTATCTGCTGATCCTGTACCTCAGGACTAAAGGCCTCAGAAAAGTCTCTTCAGGTTCAGGGTCAGCGTCCTGCTGCGTCCTGGCACCGGGGGAGGCAGCCAGGCCCTGAATTTTGTTTTTTCCCCTGTACCACCGAGCTGCTAGTTTCCCACTGATACTTAAAGGGTCTGATGTCTAAAGGGACATAAATACAAAAACCAAATAGATTTTTGCCCTCTTGTCAATAAGGGGGGTAGGAGAAGATGTCATTAGAAGAAAATTAAACTACATTTGAGTTTCTTCAATTAAAACAGAATTGTTCAAAAAAGAACAACATCCAGAATTGCAAAATTATTGGACAATTCTCCTGCTTCGGTCAAAGTATGTTCTGGGCACATTTTCTTCCATGTTCATTCTCTTCTTCAGCAGCAATTTCTACCTTGTTTGCCATCAAGAAATACATAAATCAACACATCACCTTCATCTAGACCAGTAGCTCTCAACCTGGCTGCATATTAGAATCAGCTGAGGTGCCTAAAGACGCTGGTACCTAGGCCCCACCCCAGACTTACTGGGCTGGAGAATGACAATTCCAAGTCCTCAGATATTCATGTAGCTCCTACTATCCCCAGCCCTGGGCTGGACTCTGTGGAAGAGACGAAGTGGTTGGTAACTGCTTCCTGCCCTCAAGGAGCTCACAGTCCACTTAGAAACAGATTCACACATGCCAAACCCAGAATAGTATGAACAAGCACCAAGGTGCAGAGCTGAGGAAATGGCACTGCTCTGGGATCAGAGGAACCCCGGTGCCCCCTCAGGAATGCTGGGTAGGGACACATTTCCCAACGGTAATCTGAGCTCGCTGCTTCTGTGCAGTTCTGGCGCTATGGAGACTGGGTGGACGTGGTTATCGATGACTGCCTGCCAACTTACAACGATCAGCTGGTCTTCACCAAGTCCAACCACCGCAATGAGTTTTGGAGCGCTCTGCTGGAGAAGGCTTATGCGAAGTAAGGCCACGCTTTCGAAGGGGAGGCAAGTCTAGAAATGAGGAGGTGGGCTGCAACACCCAGCCAAGGTCTCACTCGTGAGAGGAGGCGTGCATATCTGTGCACTGTGCACGTGTGTGTGTGTGTTCAACTGTGACCCAAAGTCAGAGAAGATCGAGTCCAGGCAGAAACAGCTCTAACTAAAAAGATTCTGTTTAAGAACAGAAAGGAAGACATATGTAGGAAAGCTTTAGCTGTAGCTTCCCAGAGTGAGCTCTTTAATTCTGTCTTTGTAGTGGCGTTACAAGTCCTAGATCCAAGCATTATATTTCTGGAGCTCAGATCTCAGGGTCTTGCTTGGCTCCACCTCATGAGCTTGCAATATATTCATAAAGCCATACTGTCGTTCAACTTAGAAGGCCGACCGTCTGGTGGCTTTAAGGAAGCCCTACCTCAGGGTTCAGGGTTGTCGCTCAACTTAGAGGGCCGACCCCAGCTACTGGTGGCTTTAAGGAAGCCCTACCTCAGGGTTCAGGGTTATAATGGAGAGAGAGCTATCGGGGAGTGGGAATAGCTAGTTTCCGGTCCCAGTGCTCTGGCTCCCTGTGGCCCTGGGTGAGTCACCTAGCCTCGGGAGTTCAGCTTCTCCTCCGTGAAGAAAGGGAATCATAGTACCGATCCACTAGCCTATAGGTTTGTTGGAGAATTGATGAGAGAACATCACAGGACGCAAGAGTAAAGTTCTGGTGGCAGTGCTGCCTGGGTTACGTTTCCTGGAACCCTGTGACCCCAGATTGGTCTTCATCCTCTCTCCAAGGCTCCATGGTTCCTATGAAGCTCTGAAAGGTGGGAACACGACAGAGGCCATGGAGGACTTCACAGGAGGGGTCACAGAGTTTTTTGAGATTAAGGATGCTCCCAGAGACATGTACAAGATCATGAAGAAAGCCATCGAGAGAGGCTCCCTCATGGGCTGCTCCATTGATGTAAGTCTGGGGTGTGGGGCGCAGGGCAGGGAGCAGCCGCATATCGGAAAGCCTTACCCGGTGACTGGCAGCACAGGGTTCTCCTCTGAGACCCGAAAATGTTTTGCCTTAGGAAGCAGGAACTGGCTCTCAGCTTTGAAAATTGGGAATTTCTCAAGGTAGAAGAGTTCTTGGGCATTTTCAATAAAGAGGTAGGACAAGGACATATCGAGCTCTGGAATACTGGGAACAGGTCCAGAGGCCTATATCAGTGTGGGCCTCTGTGGTGGGAACATGCCCCCATGAAGCTGGCCACATGCTTGGCGGTGGGCCTGAGCCCACTGGGTCCCTGAGAAAGCCTCTCAGTCGTTGGGCTTTGATGGCCACTCTCCCTTGGGGCCTGTTACGGGAACAGGTCCAGAGGCCTATATCAGTGTGGGCCTCTGTGGTGGGAACATGCCCCCATGAAGCTGGCCACATGCTTGGCGGTGGGCCTGAGCCCACTGGGTCCCTGAGAAAGCCTCTCAGTCGTTGGGCTTTGATGGCCACTCTCCCTTGGGGCCTGGGCTCTGTGTTGTGATGTGGGAGGAGCTCAGCCTGCGGTCCCCCTCAGTGTAACGAAGTGGTTTGAACTGAGACCAGAGTCAAGGGTGAGGAGAAGGCAGGCTGGCCAGGCCTGCTGAGTGTCAGGAGACACGCCTGCCTGGGGCTGCTCAGTGCACGCTAGTCCTGGTGCTTTCCATAGCAAGGAAGAGGCCCAAGATGAATTACTACTCCTTCCTCTCCCAATACTCGCCTGGAGAGGAAAGGTTGGGGAGATCAGCTAGCATAAGACACCCATAGATGAACATTTTTTTCCTGTATCGCTTTTCTCCATCTTTTCTCCATTCATGCTGTTTCTCTCTCCTCTCTTCCTTTGTCTGTCTCCTCCCTTCCTCCGGTCTCCTTCCCTTGTTATCACCCTCCTTTGTTCTCCTCCGGGACTGCCTCCTGCCCTCCCCGTGGGGCCCCAGGATGGCACAAACATGACCTATGGAACCTCTCCTTCTGGGCTGAAAATGGGGGATTTGATTGCACGGATGGTGAGGAATATGGATAACTCGCTGCTCCGCCCCACAGGCTCAGATGACAGACCGACCCGGGTGTGTACGCCTTCAAATGTCGGGAATAAGCACCCCTCCAACCTGCATGACCTGGCCCTGCATGTCACACTCCCCTCAGTAGCCAGTGCCTCACACACAGGCCCCCACTTGGGGCCTCCCAAGGGTCTGAGTTGGAATAATTTGCCTGCTCCAAGGTTCCTGAGGGTGGGAGAGACAGGATTTGGAAGGGATCTCTATGGGAGCCCCTTCTCCATGGTCCAGGCAGTTTCTCTGATAAATTAACAGGAAGAAATACAAGAGAGACTTCTTGTATTAAAATGTCTCTCCTCTTCTTTTTTAAAAAATATTTTTTTTATTGATTTCAGAGAGAAAGGGAGAGGGAGAGCGAGATATAAACATCAGTGATGAGAGAGGATCATTGATCGGCTGCCTCTTGCACGCCCCCTACTGGGGATCGAGCCAGCAACCCGGGCATGTGCCTGACCAGGAATGGAACCATGATCTCCTGGGTCATAGGTCAACACTGAACCACTGAGCCATGCCGGACGGGTTCTCCTCTTCTAATTCATTCATTTACTCATTTCCACATATTTATTGAGCTCCTACAGGTGCCAGGTACTCTTCTAGCAAACAAGGAAAATTCTCTCCTCTTCGTTCACTATCCTAGTGAACAAAGCAAAGTCTCTCCCCCTCATAGAGCTGATATTTGATATTCTAGTACTTTCAGAATTAGTACATGCTCACTGAGGAATATCAAGCCATATGGTAAAGCAGAAGAAAAATTAACCCATCTTTCCCCATCTATAGGTAATAACTCCTAACTAACATTTGGCATATGTCCTCCCAAGATTTTCTCTATGCATACACTTAATCTAAATTTTTATTTTTTAGTCTTATCATACTGTATGTACCTCTTCGCAACATGATTTTTTTAAACTTAGTTTTATACTCTTAATGTGTCTCCTATAATATTTAAGAGTCTTCCCATGGCGAGAGGCACACTTTCAGGGAGTGGAGGAGTGCCCATCCTCACCACCCCCAGAAAATGAACCATGTGAGCCCTGTCTCGGGCGGCAGGACTTTGCTTCCCAACCCCTGACAGGCTGCCTGGATTTCGCTCCACAGACCATTGTTCCGGTTCAGTATGAGACGAGGATGGCTTGCGGGCTGGTCCGAGGACATGCCTACTCCGTCACTGGGCTGGAGGAGGTGAGCCTGGCAATGCGTGGTGGGATGGGACTTGAAGAGCTACTTGGATTAAGCTCCTGACGTCAGGACTTGGCTTTCTGTGTCCCCTTGTAGCTACAGAGCTTGCCTTCTCCAGATCAGGGGATCCGCTCAGGGCTCAAGGCAAATGCTTGGGGTTGGAGGGGACCATGGGCACATGCAGGATCTTGCCACCAGGTGGTGCTCAGTTTATCATTGTTTTTAGAGCTAAAGATAGCCGTTCCCCCCAACATTTCCAAGGAACGAGTAGAAATCACTTCGGTTTTATGGCGTTGGTTTCATGGGTTCTCATGCTTCCTGTTCTTCCACGGTCAAAGAGTTACAGTGCTTTGCTCCGGGGACATCTGGCCTTTACTAGCCTTTACTGGGTCAGAGACGGGATCCTGGTCAGACACATGTATTTGGTCAGGCTGAGCCCTGTGCACAGGGATGGACAGAGCGGGCCGTCATCTGGGGCAGCACTCAAAGCGGACTGGAGGCAGGGCACCTTTTTCTGATTGGTCCATCTAGAGCAGGGATGGGCAAACTTTTTGACTCGAGGGCCACAATGGGTTCTTAAACTGGACCGGAGGGCCGGAACAAAAGCATGGATGGAGTGTTTGTGTGAACTAATATAAATTCAAAGTAAACATCATTACATAAAAGGGTACGGTCTTTTCTTTTTTTAGTTTTATTCATTTCAAACGGGCCGGATTCGGCCCGCGGGCCGTAGTTTGCCCACGGCTGATCTAGAGGGATCATTTGTCTGTAGTTCCCCAGCCAGGAGGGGCATTCTTCCTAATTCACACAAAGACACCGAATGTGCTAGCAGGGCCCTACAGTGCATGCCCTGCCTCCTCCCCCAAAGCTCATAAGAGCCAGGGGTTCACCGGGGAAGTCCCTTCTGAGAAGATGTGAGGCGATGGCTAAGCCCTGACTGCCGAGGACTCAGTCCCAATGTCCTACCCCTCACCCTGCCATTCCAGTCTCCTTGACCAGGGCCAGCAGGACAGCCCCCTATGGGATTCTCTCCCCAACCCATCCCAGCCCTCAGGGCAAAACGGAAGACCGCCTTTCCAGAAAGGCTCCAGAGTGTGAGATATTCTAGATATTCTAGAATATCTTTCTCTTTTGCCCAAGGTCATGTTCAAGGATGAGAAGGTGAAGCTGGTGCGGCTGCGGAACCCCTGGGGCCAGGTGGAGTGGACCGGCTCCTGGAGTGATGGGTAGGTGAGGGGACTCCAGGAGTAGGGACAACAGGCCTGAGACAGGGCTGGGCTGGGTGCAAAGCCGGAAGAGCACTACAAATGTTTGGTCTAAAATTATCTTCAGCTCTGGCCACGTGGTTCTGTTGGTTGGAGTTTCATCCCATGCACCAAAAGGTTGTGGGTTCAATTTCCCGTCAAGGCACATACCTAGGTTTTGGGTTTGACCCCTAGTTGGGGCATGTGGTGGAGGGGGGGCGGGCAACCAATTGATGCTTTTCTCTCTCCCACACCTTTCCTTTCTCAAAAAAAAAAATCAATAAAAACACATCCTCGGTGAGGATTTTTTAAAATAAAGTATAATTACCTTCAAAACCAGTGATCCACAGAAGAGAAGAGAGGATGTGGGCTCCAGAGAAGGGCCCGGCATGGCGCTAGGTGAGCCTGGGAGCCAGAGAGCTTGCTGGTGGCCACTGGTTGGAAAGGAAAGATTCTAGAAAGCATGGGTTAGGTCCCAGTAGGAGGGAGTCTCAACGTGGAGGTCTAGACTAGACAAGTGACTTCCCTTCTCAGAGTCCCTGCTGCCTTATCTGTAAAACGGGAAGGATGTTCGGAGGAGAAGATGTGATCGTGTCTGGAGGGAGCTTGGCCAGGGCTAAGGTTCCCTCCCCCTCACTGTCCCCATAGGAAGGAGCACAGGCCCTTTGAAATAACTTCACTGTTTTTCACTAAAGAGCAATAGACTCGGGGCAGCAAAATTTACAAACACGGGAAATGTGTGATAAAGGCTCCAGAACACGTGCAAAGCCTTTATGGCCCCACCCCAGCCGCTGGGTCCTGGCTGTCTCACGGAATGGAGGGCAGTTCCCTGTGCTCCTGTTATTCCCACGGGGGGGGGGGGGGGGGGGGGGACAGGGCTCAGCCACGGAGGAAGACCACAGCCAGGCCCTTCCTCAGCCCCCGTGCTTACCTCGACATACCTCTCATCCCAGGCACATTACTGGTTCATTTAGCCACTCATTGACTTAGCAAGTAAGTGAGCGCCCACTGAACGGCAGGCACGGGTGTGAGCCTGGGGATAGGCCTCCCTCAAGAGACTGTGATAAGGAGCTGGTCCTTGTCTCCCACTGTTTCTTTCACTTCCTCGGGGTTGAGTGTATGCCGGGCCCATGCTGCTGTCTAGGGACTTAGAAATGAACACAGAGACACAGACCCTGCCCTGTAGGCTTTAAGGTCCAGCGGGAAGGACAAACACTTAGAATCATTGAGATAAGTGCCATGGCAAGGGTCACAAAGAAGGATCCCCGCTCCCAGCTTGGGTAGGACAGGAAGGTGCAAGAAGGCTGCCTGGACGGAGTGGCCTTAGGACCAGGCTGTGTGTTCTGGGATCTTGGTGCCCCGTCAGCTGTCTACTCCACTGGCCCGAGTCTCCCATAGGGACCCGCGCTGTGTTCTTCAGCTTCAGAGCTTGGTGTCCAGCCTTAACCCTCTTCCTGCCGAGGCCTCCACTGCAGGGACTGCTGACCGGGGGGCCTCAGCCCTGTCGCTGAAAGGGAGACTCCCCTTCCCCGCTGCGTCCCTCCTCCTGGTCTCAGGACTCTCCCTTTCCCCTCCAGCATTCCCTGCTTCTAAGCACTTCCTCACCCCTTACCTTTCCAGGGTCAACCCAGTTTGGTTTCATTCTCCTCAGTGTGGCTGAAATACAAACGTGCTTCTTTTCCTCCCTCTTCAGGAGAGAGTGTACGAAACTGCCCAGCCTTTAAAAACACAAGCTGGGCTGTTTCCGGGGCTGGCAGGGGACAAGGGGTGCTTACATGCCTGGTCTTTCCCTTAGTAACTCAGTCCCTTGTCCGAGGACAGGCACTGTTCTGCAGTTTTGTATGCATTATTTCAGGTACTGCTCATTGCAGCCCTAGGAGTGGATAATAAGCAATCCTTTCCCTTTTGCTGCTGAGAAAACAGAAGCTGAGCCAGTCCTGGTATTATTCAATTGGATTCTCAGTTTATTTATTTCCAGAGCCCAACTCCTAGCTTTAAAGTATGCAGAGGAGTGAAAGATTCAGCCAGAGAAGGGTCAAGCCCTTACCAGCCCATTGAAGGAGTTTGGTTTTCATCCTGAGGCTGGTGGGAAGCCATTACTGGGTTTTACAGTGAGGGGATCAGGTCAGATTTGCATGTGGATGGTTCACACTGGCTGCAATTTGGAGATGAGCTACTCTTTGAACTTCTTCATGTCTCTCTGGTACCGCCTATCCTAACCCACATCAAGCCTTCCTTTCTCCCGTCCATAATTCTTCCATTTTTCCCTCCAGTTGGAAGGACTGGAGCTTTGTGGACAAAGATGAGAAGGCCCGTCTGCAGCAAGAGGTCGCTGAGGAAGGCGAGTTCTGGTGAGTCCAGGACCAAGGAGGACCCCAGAGGGTACGGGATGGGGCAGGAGCTGAAATCACAAACCTCAATTCCCAGACAGAGGCCGTCAGATTCCAGCCCTTGGGGATCGGGGCCCTGTTCTCCTCCAACTGGAGGCCCAGCAAGGATGAGGTTCTGAGAGGAGCCACCCGGCCAGGTCAACGTGGTGACTGAGCCTGGGGCCAGGCCGGCATCACGGGCTCCTGCCTCACCTGTGCCCCTCCACCTTGCACGCTGCTCCAGACTCTTGCTCCGCAGCCTTCGCAGAGCTGTTTTCTGGGCCGGGGAAGCTCTACTTACTCTGCTCACCCAGTGCCCTCACCTCCACACGGATCACTTCTACTCGGCCCAAGTCTCAGCTGACAGGGAACTTCCTTCAGGAACCCCTTGTCTTCCTTTGGACTGGAATGAATTTATTTGTCATGCTCACCACCCTTGAAATTGCTTGCTTAATTGTTCTTTCCTAACTCTCTCTTATAACTAGCATGGTGCCTGGGTCCCAGCGAGGGTCACACAGTAAGTTTTGGAGAACTGAGTTGCTGCTGAGCTCTCCCGTGAAGGACACATGAGTTTGAGTCGTTATTGAAAGAGATGATAGTCTGGGGTGGATACACCGGAATGGACAGTGTTTACCCTAAAAGGGGTGGACAGGGTCCTTTCTGGGACTGTGACCAAGTTCTACTGGACCGTTTTATTGGGCTGTGTTAGCCCAGGAATCTTACCTTTGCACGCCTCCACATGGGTCTCTCTCTTCTCCCAACCTCGCAGGATGTCCTATGACGATTTCGTCTACCATTTCACAAAGCTGGAGATCTGCAACCTCACCGCTGATGCCCTGGAGTCCGACAAGCTTCAGACCTGGACGGTGTCCGTGAATGAGGGCCGCTGGGTGAGGGGCTGCTCTGCTGGCGGCTGCCGCAACTTCCCAGGTGGGAGCAGCTCTGCACGGGAGGGGGGGGGGGTCAAAGCAGAACAAGCTCCAGGTAGAATAACATTAGCGAGTATTTGCCGAGTGTCTAAGCCGCAGACGTACATTATCTTAGGAAGCCCTTCCTGTTTTACTGGGAAGGGAACTGCCATGCGGAGGAGTTTGCAATAGGGGGTTGGGAACCACTTTTAAACAGGACATTGTAACAGAATAATACCATACATTGTGCTCATACTGCTGAGGATGGGAGTAGGCAGTGGTTCTCAACCTTCTGGCCCTTTAAATACAGTTCCTCATGTTGTGACCCAACCATAAAATTATTTTCGTTGCTACTTCATAAATGTAATGTTGCAACTGTTATGAATTGTAATGTAAATATCTGATATGCAGGATGGTCTTAGGCGACCCCTGTGAAAGGGTCGTTTGACCGCCAAAGGGGTCGCGGCCCACAGGTTGAGAACCACTGGACTAGAGGGCCCAGTTAGCAACTACTGCAACAGTTCATGTCAGAAATAATGAACTCCTAGGCCAAGTCAGGGGAGCAGAGGTGCAGAGAAGAGGGCTGAGGGGAGAAGAGACTGGGTAATGTGGGGAAGGAAGAATGAAGGACTTGAAGATCCCCAGCTTGGGGCATGAGCGGATGGTGTCAGTGCTGCAATACATAAGAAACATAAGAGGATTTCGGGTACCCACCAGGCCCCATATATACGGATCACAGTACAAACTGACTGTACTCCCTACGCTATCATCTACTAACAGAGTTAGTGCACACCCTTGTGGTGCTGCTCAGACATTGTAGACAAGTAGTGTTTTAGGCGCTTACACTGGCCACGCATCTTCTCTGCATTAAACATGCTTTTATATCATTCCTTTTGAATTTATTCAACTAACTTGTTGAAAAAATTCCAATGAATTGGAATTACTCTGGCTAAAAATACTCAATTTATATATAGACTCAGAAGTTAGCTTTCCCCTCATTCTAGGTCCTTCTCTTTATTCTGCCTCCCCCTGCTTGAGACTTCAAACTGCACAACACTGTTCAAAGCTGTAGACTATTAGGTGTCATTGTCTTTATTCTGCTCACTGACACTGCAGAGAAGTTATTCTTAATCACTGCTCAGCAAAATCATATATGCTCACTGCTTAATCATCACTTGTACTTTTTCATTTCATTTTTCCAGCTTCCTTGCATTATTATAGTGTCACTGGATTTTAAGAGCTTGTTTATAACTAAAGATGTTAACCATTTCTCATGCATTGCAAATGATATACCATGTTTTTTGTTACTATTTTACTCTGCTGTTTTACTTTTTGGTTGTATCAAACTTGTGCATTAAATATAATCATATTCTGTTTTAAAAAAAAAAAGAAAAGAAACACAAGAGGAAAACATGGTGTGTCATTTGTTTTTGGTGGGTTGACTGTGGGCTTGTAGGGAGGGACGTTTAGTTTGGGACATGGAAAGTCTGAGGCACCTGCACAATCTCCAGTGAAGATGTGTAATAGAGAGCTGAACGCAGAGACAGAGAGGTACTCAGTGTGTATTTGTAGGAGGGAGGGAAGGAAGGAGTCAAAAGAGAGATGGAGGCTGGGACCTATAGCTCAGGCACCATCCGTGCGTGGAGGGCAGGGAGAAAGTGAAAGTGGGTGAGACAGCCCCGGGGCCACAGTGGTGAGCTGAGAGAACAGGTCTAGGGCCCCATCCCAGGAACCAGCGACAGTAAAGGGACAGGTGAGCAAAGCAAAGCCCTCAGCAGAGACCGAGGATGGACGTGCAGAGAGGAAGGAGGAGGCACACAGCCTGTCAGGGCAGCTCCATCTGTAGAAAGTATAGGTTACCAGCCCCCCACCACCACCATAACAGACCAAGCCTGATCATTCCTTCACATCCATTGAGCACCTAGATGTGGGAGACAAACACGTTCCCTCTGTCTCATCCACCCCGCCTCCCCCACTCCCCGTTTCTCCCAGAGGCAGATCTGAGTGCACATTTTCTTTCTGGGCACAGACACTTTCTGGACCAACCCGCAGTACCGCCTGAAGCTCCTGGAGGAGGACGATGACCCCGAGGACTCAGAGGTGATCTGCAGCTTCCTGGTGGCCCTGATGCAGAAGAACCGGCGGAAGGACCGGAAGCTGGGGGCCAACCTCTTCACCATCGGCTTCGCCATTTACGAGGTAGGACCAGCTTCAGCCCAAGAAACACACCTTCGGGGGGTGGGGGGGGGGCTCTCAGGGCTCACAGAGAGGTCCTCCGCTCCCCTGGTACTCAGCGACCCTCAGAACTCCGGGCATCAGGCTCACTGTGTCAGAACCGCTTAGATATTTGTAAGGAGTGAAGGAGTGGATAAAAACCAGGGTCGGGGAGGGGGAGTGGGGCCGGGGCTGGCCATGGGGAGTCAGGCTTATGTATTCGCTCTACAGTTGCTCATGTTCCCTTCCGACATGCTTTTCGTCTCCATTCAGATCTGAGATCCACAGAATCTGAGTGTCGTCTTTTTCTGTTTCTCCTCAAGGTTCCCAAAGAGGTATAGAAGGGCAGCGCCAGCAGCTGTGGGCAGCGTTACCTGGGGCCTGTGTCTGCCTGTGGCACCTCGGGAAGCTTCCTGGTGGGGGGTGTGGGCATTACTATGATAGGAGAGGGCCTCGCCTGCGTCCCTCAACTCCAGAGCAGGGCCATGACCTCCTGACTACCACCCTCACGCTGTGGCCCTCCCCTCAGAGACGGTCACACACATGCTTTCACACAGTCATGGTCACTTGTTCACACTCATACACACGCTTGCTCACGTACACATTCATACTTACACAATTACACACTCGCCCATCGTCACACAGACACATTCTAAGGGGGACCGCCCTCTTTGGGATGGAGGAGTTACCTCCCTCGGACCCCAGCTAAGGGCCCTCCTGCCTCCTGGGGTCCTTCACTGGCCTGGAGGCAACTGGAATTGACCAGCAGCGCTTCTGGTAAGTGATCCTGAGGGCGGGAATGATAGACTTGACCTTCAGAATCACAACAGAAGAGGAGGAAATGGGGTAGGGAGCTCCAGGGCACTGAGCTATTTGCGACCTTGGGAATCGGAAGTCGACAGGTCATGACTGCACTGGGTGACCAGGGAGTCGGGAAGGGAGCCCCGGGGGGACTGCTGCAGGACAGGGCACCCCTCCCTCCCGAGGGGCTCAGGTGGGCTCTTCTCTCCTCAGATGCATGGGAACAAGCAGCACCTACAGAAGGACTTCTTCCTGTACAACGCCTCCAAGGCCAGGAGTAAGACCTACATCAACATGCGGGAGGTGTCCGAGCGCTTCCGCCTGCCTCCCAGCGAGTACGTCATCGTGCCCTCCACCTACGAGCCCCACCAGGAGGGAGAATTCATCCTCCGGGTCTTCTCTGAGAAGAGGAACCTCTCTGAGTGAGTCCCAGCCCGCTGTCCACCTGCCCCTGAAGCCCACGTGGCCCCCTCCAGAGCCTGGAGGCCCGAGGCTGCGGGACTGGCTCCGCCAGGAGTCCTGGGCCAGGCTGGCCAGGCTGCACCTCTTCCTCCGCTTCTGAGCCACTGGCCACATCTTCCCTCTTCATTCATTCATTCATTCATTCATTCGTCAGTCAGTCATCCCACAGATATGAGGATAGAGCAGTGAACTGAACAGAAATAAATCCCTGCCCTCATGGAGAGTAACATGCTAGCATAAGACCACAAGGTATAGGAAAAGATATAAATATATAGTATGTTAGAGTCTGATAAGTGATAAGGAGAGAAAATAAAGTAGGAGCTGTTAGGGGAGATTGAACGGTTAGGTAGGGTAGCCAAGGAAGCCAGCAAGGCCACATGCTGCCCTCTTGGCCACCACAGATGTGTTCCCGGGCCCTGCCACTCTGGTCTTTGTTCCTGAAAGAAGCAGAGGTCTATGAGCAGGTGGCTGGGTCATGCCTTTGGGGAGCTCTAGGCAAAGCCAGCGAGAACCCGTGTGTCTGCTAGGGATGGCGCCTACGTGGGACTGGTTCCTGGGGTGGGGGTGTTAGTGCCGGGGCTTCTCTTGAGCTCAGTCCCAACTTAACTCTGAGAAGTCATGTCACCTGAGCAAATCCTCTCTGTGCTTCCTACTTGCTCCTGGTGACACTGAGCCCCCATGTTTGTGTTCCTCACAGGGATGTTGAAAATACAATCTCCGTGGACCGGCCAGTGGTGAGTGTTTTAGCTCTTAGATACGAGAAGGTCCAGGGGACAGCTGGGAGGTCGAGGGGAGAGGGGATGTTGGCAGAGGGAGATGGGAGTCTGGGGTGTGTGCAGCGATTACTCCATCTTACTGCGACTTCTGTTTGGCGTGACCAGAAAGAATGGATGGACCTTGTGGTCCCGGGCCCATTTCGTCAGTCCAGGGGCTGGGAAGTACGGAAGAGAGTTTGAACCATTAAAGGGGGGGAGGGGATCAAAGCCACAGGAAGCGATGATAAGAGCAGCAGCTGATACTGGATTATGAGGCACAAGCTCACATAGAGAAAAAAAGGACACAGCTCTGCCGTCAGCATCAAAACCTGGGTCCAGTACCTGGACAATCACATAAACCCCCCAAGTCCATTTCCTGCTCTTTAAAATGGGTGCCTGACCAGGCTTTTGTCAGATTTGAATCAATGAGATCATGTATGTGAGGTGTCTGGCGCAGCCCGGGCCTTCAAATGGTGGTTGTTACTCGTGTGTTATCTACTTCACCAGGTACTTCTCACGTGTGTCCTCTCACTTGATCCTCGCAAGGTTTCTCAGATGTAATAAGGTTATTACCCCTGGTTTTCAAGTAAGGCAGCGGAGATTCAGTGAAGTTAAATGACTCCCTGGAATTCACAGAGCCCTTAAGTAAGCAAGGCTCGCAGCCGGATTCTCTGAACGCACTCTCCCCCCAACGCCATGCTGAGACCTGTCCCGGGGTGGGAGGCCAGAGTTAGCACTGAGTTGGTGTATATTGGGGTCCCCTTGTGTTGAGGGGTCTGTGGCTGCCTTGGGGCTTTGGGTCCTGGTTAGTAAGTAGTCCCTTGTGCTCTGTGGGTGTGTCCTGGGCCAATTAGGAGACAGCAAAAGCCCCACTGAACTGTCAGCTGGGGCATGACATTCATGGTTCTAATCCTGACCCTGTCCCGGGGCCAGATCTCCAAGTGCCTGCTGGATGATCGCAGATGTTGTTTTTAGTATTCAGTGCACTTGGCGCTATTCTTATCCTCTCTGGACGTTGGTCATCATGTACAGTGTTTATCAGCAGTTGCAAACCCGAAAGCTCATGGGAGCTGCATGTTACCTAACTGAGCAGAGCAAGCAGGTGTAGGATTTTGGTGCCCTGCAGTGGCCTGCACTCGTAGCTGACACCTGGCTCCTGTGTTGGAGGGCTGACTGGCATGGTGGCAATTGTGGTGTCTGGGAGGGTGCAGAGCAGCGGCTCTCCCAGATGGTGGCCACAGGGGGCTCAGGTCCCTGCAGGCTGCCTTACTTAATTTTACAAAAGAAGTCCCAGACCTGGGTTTCCATCAAGTCTCCCATGTTAAGTATTTGCCTAAAAATAAACAAACAAAACAACAACAACAAAAAACCCCAAACTCTATAAATCAAACAAAATTCATTTTGGGGCCAGTTTGGATTAGCTACTTTTTTGGTGTTTTAGTCATCACCTTCGTTAAAAAATACATTAGGTAGAAGCTAATTTCCTTAGCAGCGTCCAGTAACAGAGGGAGCCATGGAAATGAAGCCGCAGCAGCTGCCAGTCTCGGGGCTGGAGAAGCCTCCGGCCCCTTTGGCCTCCGTGTGACCTGGATCTCTGACCCCAGAACCCACCCAAAGTGCAGAGCCAGGTCACAGGAAGCCAAGGGCCAGTGGATTCTCTGGAAACTTGCTTTTCACCTAATCTGCATGTACTGTTTTCTTTCCTTGTGCAGAAAAAGAAAAAACCCAAGGTGGGTGTCACAGGGTGAGTGGGTCGGCAGCACGGAGTTTTTGTGCACGTGTGTGTGTATGCACGCCCACCAGCCTCACCTCTTCCCCTGCTGCCCCACCTCCTCCTTCCCCTTGCAGCTCTGGGTGCAGAACAGTGAGAGCTAACACCTGCTGAGTGAAGGCTGTGGACCAGGCACACTCCCAGGTGCTTTCTGTGGATAAACTCAGTCCTTAACCACCCTATGAGAGTGGTGCTATCATTACCCCCCTTTTCAGAGGAAGAAGGGGTACAGACAGACTGACTGACTTACCCAAGGCCACAGAGCCAGTAAGTGGCAGTCAGCACGTGGAGGCAGGTGCAGAGTCTGCGCTCTGAACCAGCAATGCTATACTGCCTGCCCCTCACATGAGGGAGGCAGTGAAAATGGGCCTGGCCTGGGGGTCTTGCAGAAACCAAAAGCAGCCCCTCGTTCTCAGAAGTGGGCTCAGCAATGCTAAGCACGGCTTGATTCTTCGGGGGAATGGCAACGGGTTCCATTCCTCAGGTACATACAGTGAGATAACGGGAGGGTTCCCATGGGAGTGAGGGTCTCGGATGCCAGCTACCTGCTCTGTAGACAGGCCAGTTCCTTCCCCCTCCTCTCCTTTCCTGCCTGCTCCCCACTTCTCCTTTTTTCTCCGCCTTCCGGGAAGGGGTGGGAGAGGGTATCTAGAGGGGCTACGTCACTGCCAGGGCCCTTATTCAGGGGAAGCCGCTTCTAGACAATGGCCTCTCACTCTGAACCTAGGGCCCCTCTAAGTCATGGGTCTTGAGAGACTCTACGTGCTGCCTGTGTCCAGAGGGCAAAGGGCAGATGGGGGAGAGCCTCCACCCTCACAGCCCTAGAGGAGCTGCTCAACCTCACTGGCTTACGGGGGGAAGGAATGAGAGCTACCTACCTGGGCCCCTTTCCCTCCTGGGATCTTGGGGCATCACCCTGACTCACCAGGGCCTGTGATGGCCCCTCCTGGGTTTCCTGGTTATAATCACTCTGCTGTAAGGACACCGTTGCTAACGGTGACCATGGGGCTAAGAGCATCTCAAGGGCCTCAGACCAAAACTTTCATTCTCCCTGTGACCAGGGACCGTTTCCTCTGTGTGCCTTTGGGACTGAAATTCAAACTCAAACTCCCCCAACCCATCCTTGTTCCATTTATCCCATCACTTCCCCTGGCCTCCAGGGCAGAAGGGCCTCTGATAGAATTTTGGTTTGACTGCCCAGAGTATCATCCAGAAATGACTGACCTTTGGACATCCTTGAGCAATGGCCACAGGTCATCAGACAATGTTTGGGGTTGGTGTTTATGACAGCATCTGGAAGGATCCATCCAAGCGGTCCTCCAAGCAATGGTGCCGGGGCAGACCAAAGCTGACATCCATCAGGCACCTGCCGCGCATCAGGCACCTACCGCGCATCAGGCACCGTGCTGGGGGCAAACATAGTTTTTGATCACAACGGTATCTACAAAGTAGGTGCTGTCACTATTCCTTTCATAGGTGAGGACAAAGATTCAGAGAAGTGAAGCGATTTGCCCAAGGACACGTAACCAATGAGAGGGAAAATGGAACTGGAAATCACATCTGTCTGCCCAAAGCCCATGTGTCTTGCCCTCACCTCTCTTTAGTGCAGGCCCCTTACACACCAAAGCCTGTGTCATCCGGATACACACTTGGGCCTGGAGATATGTGCCTGGCATGGCCACACACGCCCCTCAGACTGACTCCCCGTGCTCTGGGATCCCCACACACTTCAGTTGCTTGGGCAAGACCCTTTGCTTAAAAGGCAGAGCAAGCCAGGGCCATTGGAGCCCGCTAGGAGCCAAAGCTGGGGGCAGGGGGGGGGTGGCTGTGTGCCTACGTTTGTCCATTCTTGCTGTCCTAGATGAACAGCAGGAAAGGCAGATGGGATGCATAGACCAGTGGGTTCCTGTTCTGCTCCTGTTCGCCCCCCTTGCTCTCTGCACTGCAGCCACGGTCCTACCTCCTAGCCTTCCTCTGCTTCTGCAGGGTGCACAGCACCAGCCAGGACTGACGCAGCACGCAGCTGCTTTCCACCCTTCACCTAACGTCTTCACTTGCATGAGCATGTCTTGAAAAATATCCCTTATATTTGTGTAGCATCTTAAATGTTCTGCAGCCCACTTTTACATTCAGTATCTCAGGCAGGGGTCCTCAAACTACGGCCCGCGGGCCACATTCAAATACAAATATTGTATTTGTTCCCGTTTTGTTTTTTTACTTCAAAATAAGATATGTGCAGTGTGCATAGGAATTTGTTCATAGTTTTTTTTTTAAACTATAGTCCGGCCCTCCAACGGTCTGAGGGACAGTGAACTGGCCCCCTGTTTAAAAAGTTTGAGGACCCCTGACAGGTGACCCCCTTAAGAGCCCCATGAGAAGTGTAAGGCAGGATTCATTGTGCATATAATGGATAAGTAAACTGAAGCCTGAGAGGGTATTTCTCCTATGTGATGGCCAGCCCCGTGTTCTAACCTCTCACCCGCTGGCCATGCCACTAATCAGCGTCCTTTTTCAACTTGTCCCCTGCAGACTCCTAGCGGCCCTTGGAGGTGTGTTAACTGCCCTGCCGGTGTAGGGCACCGAGGGAATAGTCTCTGCCCTCTTCATCAAGCAGAGACGCTCTGGTTTTGTTTTGTTTTAGAAGCTCTGTTTTTAATGGCTTTACCTACACTGGGCTTCCGGGGAAATCACAGTACCTGAAAACCACTGCACTAGATCATGTTGCGTTTAGCAGTCTTAGCATTTTCACATGTGCTCACTACCTTGTTTAACCCCCATAACTTTATCATGAGCAGCTAAGGAATCAGGCTAAGGAATTGAGGTCCAGAGAGGCTTGGCATCTTCCCCACGGCTTGTTAGTGGCCGAAACAGAGCTTGGAGTGAGTGAGGCTCAGGAGCTCCTACCTGCTCGTTCCCTCTTCGCTGGACCAGCTGCTCCCGAGGAGGTTGCCCACCTGTCTCCTCAGCCTGTAACCCTGGCTTCCTTCCTGCCCCTCCCCCCTGCCCCCCTCTGCAGCCTATCATCTTCGTTTCGGACAGAGCAAACAGCAACAAGGAACTGAGTGTGGACCAGGAAGCAGAGGAGGGCAAAGACAAAATAGGCCCTGATAAGCCAGAGAAACCCCCACAGGTTCTGAGCATGCGGCATGAATGGGGTGGCCAGCACACACTGGGGTCTTCTATGCTTTTGGGGTGCTCAAGTTGGAGGGGCCAAGGGTGTGGTGTCTCTTTAACATCTGGCGGTTGGATTTATCTCACTGACCTTTTTCTCTCACCAAGTTCTTCTAAAATTTGGGGTGCTGTCTTGGGGGTTGGCCGCCACATCCAGGCAGTCCTAGGCCTGGGAAGGACAGGCTGAGCTCCCTGCTGGGCCCTGTCCAGCAGGACGATGAGGGAAGGGGCAGCAAAGCCTGAGACAGAACAGCTCCGGTTTCCTGGTGTCCTCGGGCTCGTAACCAGGGGGTTCAGTAGCAGAAAAGGGGCTGACATGAGAAATAGAGTCCTCCAGCGCCAAGGGGAGGCTTAGCCTGGAGTGGGGAGAAGTGTCATCTAATGGTTAGTGGAGGTGGGGCTAAGGGACAAAGACCCATAGACCAATCCAGGGCCACCTCCGCTATCGGGGGGGCCAAGCAACGGAGTGGGGCAGGGGCCCTCTGAGCGCTGGGCCTTGATGACAGAAGCAGCTGGGAGATGTCAGAATGGTCTGGCCCCCTTTGTCCTGCTGGGGCTCATTTGGTTGGGATGGTCAGGCTCACAACAGTGGAGAGGCTCTAGCTGGTGGGGATGGGAAAAGGGACCACAGGGGCTGTCTGCATGTCTGCACGGCTGAGTCTCCTGTCTGGGTGTCTGGGCTGGGAGGTATGGAGTGAAGGGTCGCTGGCGCCTAGATGACTCACTCCTGCTCACGAGGCTTGACCAGGAAGGCGCATTGCCCTGTACGCAGCTCCTGCTGCCCCTTGGGGCCGCTGTAGGCACTCTGGCTCCTTCAGGCCCGAAGAGACTTTCCTCAGGGTCTGTCCATCCCCCACCGGTGAGCCAGCTTTCCCTTGTGCTTCCGCAGCCACGGCCTGGCAACACCGACCAGGAAACTGAAGAGCAGCAGCACTTCCAGAACATTTTCAGGCAAATAGCGGGCGATGTGAGTACCTCCAACTCCCAGACACTCCTCACACGACCAGTTACTTCATCATCATTCAGCAGAGGTCATTTGGGTGGAAACAGGGGATATGTGTGGGTGCACAGACATCCACAAGTCAAGTCCTGAGTTTTGGACAAACACACCCATGGGGTGGCTCAGATGCCTTTTGGCTGAGCTGCCCACTGCAGTCTTGACAGCCCGGGTGCAATGTCCGTCTTCCACAGAAAAGCCCCGCTTCCCTACGGCAATAGCACTGACAGGGACTGTACAGACAGGGGCAGCCGGAATTCATTTTGCAAAGCCTCTGCCCAACAGCTCTGTTCTCTTGAACGTGACTCCCCTCCCTTCCTGCTCAGGACATGGAGGTCTGTGCAGATGAGCTCAAGAATATCCTGAACTCAGTTGTGAACAAACGTGAGTGGTTCAAGCTGTCTGTGCGGGATGATGGGTAGGTGTGTGTGTGTGTTATCTGAAAGTAGTTCCTCTTCTCCATACCTCCCAGATAAGGACCTGAAGACACAAGGGTTCACGCTGGAGTCCTGCCGTAGCATGATTGCTCTCATGGATGTATCCTTCCTGCCACCCTCCCCAACCCTCAGGGGGCCAGGGCAACAATGAGGGGTGCCCAGTCAGGCAGAGGGGCCCAAAATCGCACCCAAGGAAAAGGCTTAGGGAGGTCCTGAGTCAGAACCTCCAGCTGCTGGTCTGAAAGGGGCTACTGGAGGAGGTACACGTTGGGAAGGCCATTGGTTGTGACCAGCCCCTGGGCCCTGCTCTTACCGCCGGCGGGGATTCTGCCTGGGCCCTGGCCAAGGAGGCAAGTTCCCAGGGTCACAGACACTACCTTTGATTGGGGAGGTTTGGCGGGGAGGGTTAAGTACAGGACAGGGCATTAATACAGGACAGTGGCTAGCATATCCTGGGCAGAGCCTTCCTATGGGGCTACCTTCCCTGCAGAGCCTTCTAGAAACCCCCTCCCAATCCCAGAGGATTTTGCCATGTGCACCCTGTAGCCCTGACCTTCCTCCAGACAGATGGCTCTGGGAGGCTGAACTTGCAAGAGTTCCATCACCTCTGGAAGAAGATCAAAGCCTGGCAGGTGGGGAGAGAGGACCAAGTGTGGGAGTGAAGGAGGAGATTCAGTCTGGGGTTTAGCGTGAAACCAATGACCTCACATTTCCTATTGCTAGAAAATTTTCAAGCGCTATGACACAGACCACTCCGGCACCATCAACAGCTACGAGATGCGAAATGCAGTCAACGATGCAGGTGCTGGGAAAGGGGGTGGTGGTGGCTGGGGATGTGGACTGGAGCTGGTGGAAGCCGGAATGGGAGGCCAGGACGAGGCCACTGGGCGCTACTGGAGAAAGGGAGGAGAAAGGGCTTCTCATGGTCCTTTCCCAAGAGGCAGGGACAATAGAATGCAGGCCTAAGGACTGCAGCTCTACTTCCTCCTCTCAAGTGCTCCCTCCACAGGATTCCACCTCAACAGCCAGCTCTACGACATCATTACCATGAGGTATGCAGACAAATACATGAACATCGACTTTGACAGCTTCATCTGCTGCTTCGTCAGGCTGGAGGGCATGTTCAGTAAGTGGGGGCTACCACACCGCTCTCCTGTGCCCTTCCCGCCCCCTCCCGCAGTGAGAGCTGTGGCTGATCATCCCGTCTACTCTGTCCGGGATGAACAAAGGCGAAGGCCCTCTTTAGGCTCAGAATGGGTTGGCAAAGGGAGGGCTATAGGTGACACTCTCCCTGGCAGAACATGGTCCTCTTAAGAGAAGTTACAGTAGTAGAGGGAGAGCGAGCCTGTGGCCTCTGGCCTGTATTCCTTCTTCCACACAGGAGCTTTTAATGCATTTGACAAGGACGGAGACGGCATCATCAAACTCAGCGTTCTAGAGGTAAAGCCTGCAAGCAGTACACTCCCCTTGTACCTTAAAATTCAAGGTGGAGTCCATGAGGCAGACTGGACCAGGGGGCGCTTCACTTCCCAGTGGTGTGGAAGGACGGGGTAGGAGAGGAACAGAAAGGGAAGCACAGTGGGGAATGCGGCTCTTGGGGAATGTACACACCAAAGGGTCCTCATTCCTAAATTGACTTTACGCTGGGAAACACGTACCTTCCCAGGAGAGATCTGGGGGAGGATGCTGCTGCTTCCTATAAAATCTTCCCAGCTGAGCCTTTCCCCTACCCTGTGAGAGCCCGAGGGCTGGACTCTGTTCTTGTTTGCATCCTGATCTTGGGACTTCCTCTTTCAGTGGCTGCAGCTCACCATGTATTCCTGAACCAAGCTGGCCTCAGCCAAGGCCGTGCGGGATCACTCAGGATGTTTCACCCAATACAGCTAGAACCACTTACCTCAGAGGTCGCTGTAGCTGCCTCCAGGCGCCCCAGCAGGCCTCCAGGCGCCTTATCGGTCTTGTTCCTCCTCTACTTCACTACCACTCAGCCTCAGGGCATCTGTCCATCTGTCACGCCCAAACTAACCCTTTAGTTAAGGAACTTTGTCCTTTAACTGGTGGCAAGTGCCTGTCTGCCTCAGCTAGTTGTAGCTCAGCGGAGATTTGCTTGGAACGTGAGCAGCCTCAGCTCTGAAGCAAATGCTCTCCTTAGCGGCAGTGCCCTGGGCTGTTCACAGAAGCCTTAGCCAATGGCAATCAGTACCTCCGGTGCTGGATCCCTCTACCACTCACTGGACAATCACCAAACAAGCACTGGTTCTGTCTGATTATTTCAGGATGGGTCTGCTCTGGAGGAAACTAGCTCAGTGACAGAGAGCTGGATACTGTGGGTTGTGACTCATAAGTTTGGCTGCATTCTGAAAAAAAGTAGATCTAAATAAAGGCAGGTTCTATTGTGTTTTGTTTTCTCACATTTAGATATCAGCCATGGGCTGAATAGCTTCCAATCCTACATTCACATATAGAGAGCCCAAGTTTCATTATACAATGAAAAATACACAAATAAACCCCGAATCCCACTTTAGTCATACCTATTTGTGTTTCTTGGGCATAGAAATCACTCAGATATATGAGGAAATGGAGGGGAATGGCTCTTGGTATACAGAACAAGAATAAATGGGTCGCCCATAACTGCAGGGTCACTTATCCTATATAATAAAAGCCTATATGCTAATTGTCCATCCAACCATTTGACCAGTCGCTATGATGCGCACTGACCACCAGGGGGCAGATGCTCCGACTGGTAGGTTAGCTTGCTGCTGGGGTCCAGCTGATCCGGACTGGGTGAGATGGGCTGGACGCGCCCTGGAGCCCTCCAGCGGTCCTTCCTGGCCCGGATCATGCACCGGTGGGGGTCCCTCGGCCTGGCCTGTGGGGATCGGGCGGAAACCGGCTCTGTAACATCCCCCGAGGGGTCCCGGATTGCAAGAGGGTGTAGGCCAGGCCAAGGGACCCCACCGGTGCACAAATCCATGCACCAGACCTCTAGTCTAAGTATAATGGAGCAGAAATGTAGTTTTTAATCTTAGCTCCTCCATTAATTAATTGACCTCTGTGTATGACCTTGACAAACTTAATCTGGCCCATGGTCTGTGGCTTATCTATACCATCTTGTGTTTTCCACCCAATTTTCTTCTTAGTCTCTATACCAACATGGAAAAGAAGGGGTTGGCTAGGAATGTGCAGATAAGATAACAAAAGTAAACAATTTGTAAAAGTACTTTATTTTCCTCTTGTATTTGCTTTGTATCTTGCTTTTACAAAGTTATGAAGTTCACAGGTTTATACCAAAATGTAAGAAGTCTAAGCTGTTTGCTTATAAACATTTTTGCAGTCAAATGTCATCTGATTTCATTTTTCTAATCCATATTCAATATAAAAAATTCAAATACCAGGCATGCTAGAGCAGCTCTAGGGCATGTGTTTCTCTTAGGCAGGAAGAAGATCTTCAATAGCCTTTCCTCTTTGACTCCCCTCTTTCCCAATCCCATTGGGCTACTACCTTGAATTTAGAGCAAACATGGGAAATTTTAGTGCATGTGACCCAGCAGGGCCCCATACCTGGGAGTTGGAGGTGAGGTTAGGGATTAATGTCTGATAAGCAGTAGGTGTGGTTTACATCATCATTTCACATCCACTGGCATATGGGACTCAGTATAACCCAAATCGCCACCACAGCTCCTATTCCTAGTCCTTAGACAGCTCCTTTGCCATCCTGAGTGTCCTGATGATGTGGGGAAGGGACGAGATCACTATCATCAATGTGGCAGGCCTGGCCTTCACAGCAATTCTGAAAGCTCTCCTTTAGGCAACAAGAACAAAATCTGTCCGTCAGTGTATATTAATGGCAGTTATTTGAGCAAACCAGGGGGAACATGCTGTTCAAATACCACATCGCAATATACTTTGATCTCCCCTCCAATGAATTCTCTTCCATAAAACATACCATACCATTCCACTAAATGTTGTACACCTACTCCCACCAAACCATCCACATACCTAGTCACTGAAGTTGTCCACTGTATAATCTACCCCCCAAGACCCCCAAAAAACAAAAACAAAGAAACCTTTGTTAAGCAAATAATCACTTAAACAGCAATGATTTTGCCTATAACTTATAGGTAGGTCAGGAGCTAAACACTCAATTGCTAACTCTTCTGAGACAGAAAAAACTTCTCCCCACAAAAGCAGGAGTGTGGTAGCAATAATGTTCTCTTCAAGTAGCATCAGATCAAAATTAATTCTTTGCTCTTAAGAGTTTTGTTTGCATTGTGTTTAACCGAGTAGAAGCGTATGCCAAAATACATTTTGAACCTGATTAAAACTTTAGGATAAAACTTGAAGTGACTGATATTATATCAGAACAAACTGCCATTAAAACACTAGCACACGCACACAAAAGGATTTATACCAGGGTCTCCTCGGCTTCTAGCCGTTAGAAGTAGGCACACATAATTAAAAAACAACGTTCTAAAAAATGGCCTCCGACTCCTGATAAGAAATGTCAGGTTCTGTCAGGTCATGTAACAGTTTCCTTTCTTCATAAAGTACTAAATACCAGAGTTTATGCAAACCCCTGAGCCACAGCTCTTCTCTGAGGGCGACAGAGGGCTAGAATCAGTCAGGACATCAAAGAAGACTTAAAAATGGCCAAAATTCTGCATAACTTTCAAGACACTTTAAAGCAATAAGTATACATAAGCAGCCAAGATGTTTATGGTGCATTTATTTCTAAACAGAACTAGAACAGTGTGATTAGGATAACACACTAACCTGATGTTAAATTTTACACATCCTTAAAACAAAAACATTATTGCTACTGCTCCAAAGGACATTTCTACGAAATGAGGAAAAGTATTCCAAGTACAGGTGCCCATCCGTATACACATGTACAAGGATCATTCATATACACAAAGGCAGGCAGACTGTGCACCATTCCACCAAAGTGAAACCCAAACTGGTTCTCACTGACTCTACCTGCAAAGGTTCCCCTCACTTGCCCAGCACCTGCCCTACAAAGCTCACCACTCTCGTCTTTGCAGACATGTCCTCAGGCAGGACAGAAGGACACCTGTGCACCCATGCATGCAAGACTTTCTTAGCACACTCCCCAGCCATCTGAGAAATGCTGCTTCACTACCCAGAGAAAAATGCCAGGTTTGGCAATAAGTCCAAATTCGCTTTCCTGGGAATTTACCATTCCCAAACCCACAGAACAGCCTGGCTTCTCTGGTCACCTGTACCGGAAATGGGGGTGAGAGGTGGGAAAAGCGTCATAATCTCATAGAGAAACAGCACAAATAGTCTTGACACAATAGGATTCTCTCTGGTCTCTCTCAAGTGTCATGTAAACCTCAATAGTGTGGTTAACAAAAAAGTTTTCCCATTCACAAAGACAGAAGTAAGTAGTTTGTGGGGCCACTCATTATCCAGCAGTAGCTCCTTTAGTAGGTCTTAATCTTTTGGATCCAGTAAAAATCATTAGAGCCTTCCCTGGAAAAAAGGACACATACTTCGTCTTGCATACAATTTCAGGGGGTTCGCACACCCTCCTGAAACCTATCCATGAATCCCCAGTGAAGTCCTCCTGCCCTAGAGCCAGAGTGAAGGAGGCATGTGAGCAGATGTGTGTGCACCGACAGGAGAGGGGAGAAACCTGGATGCTCTGCAATCCTAGAACATAGTAGGGGCCGCATCCCAAAGCGTGGCTGTGTGCACCGTGCTGCTCTCCCTTCCTCTATCTCCCTGAAGAACCTTTCAAAGTGAACCCAGAAACAGAAGAATGGAAAGCAACACGTCTACAGCTTCTCTTCGGAGTCCTGAGAAAAGCCCAAACCAAGCAGTCTCACTAAGGCTTTGTTAATGTGGCTGCTCTCAATGGACAGGTGGTCTTTAACTTCACCAGATTCCACTCTTTCTTCCCAACTAGTGGAGAGGTGAGGGCAAGACAATGGTTTAAGAAATCAGTTCCTAAGAAGCCTGCTGAGGCCCTAAAAACTGAATTCAGATGCTTTATCCTGACTCCCCTATCTTGGGGCTGCAGGTGAGTGCAGGGCATTCTGTAGGTTTCAATCCCACAGCAGCCTGGAGAGCCAGAAACTGGAAAGGGAGGTCAAGGCTGCACCTCCAGGTCAGACAGCCCGGCCACCCCTGCAGCAGTGATGCCCAGGTCTCACAGCACCACTGCACGTGGACAGTAGGTCTGTGTGCTGCCCTGAGCCAAGCACTCCAGCAAACCCTGCAGAGAGGGTCGCTGGGGAGCACTGTCCGTAAGGACTTGCCACTGTGTGATCTGCTGTCTCAACTCCTAAAATAGTCAGCTGAGCAGTCACTCTAGCTGCTAAAAATCTACTGTCTTCCTTTACATTTAAAGCCAGCTCTGTCATCTACAAAGCAAAAGAATATTGACACACACTAAACATAATTGTTCAAAAGAAAACTATTTGCTTCCAATTTAAATACCCAGTTATTACAAGCAGAAAAATTAAAACTGATCCTAAAAATCTAGCATTTGAACAAACTGGTACTTAAAGCTTGACTACAAGTTTAAACCATCATAAGAACATAAAGTAAAAATCACAAACTGAAATCAGTAAAACAACATGATTAGGGTCAAATCAGGTAACCAATTCAGATCTGCATCTTTAATAAACATCTGGAGAACACCAGTAGCATAAATTACCATATGCCACGCTGTCCCAGGAGTATGGTTCCTTAAAATCTGACAAACCTCCAGCAAGATCTTAAAGTGTAACCTATCATCCCACAGAGCTGCTCAGACTTACCCTAGTGGTAAGTCTGATTGGTAATCACTTTCTCCTTCCCCGCTTCACAGGGGAAGGGAGGAGAGTGGCCAGTGTGAGGGGCCAATGTGAAATTCGTTCAACTAATGACTTCCCAACATGGGAGGCAAAAAACTTCATGAATCAACTTTACTTTCATCCTCAGCATGTCGTTCAATGTGTCCTGTAGCATCCTAGGAATAAAGGGAAAAGGGCCCATGAGAGAGAAGTTGGCAGGAAAAGACAAACTCCCACGCAAGGAGAGCTTCCTGGGTACATTCTATGATCTACACATGAAAGGCAGTTAGGACCCAGCATTCTTCATTTGAAACCTCATTATGCTATCTCTGAAATCTATGAGTAATAATAAAAAGGAAAAAGCCCTCGGCTCTCCCAATCTATAATAATAAAAGCATAATATGCTAATTAGACTGGACGTCCTTCCAGACAACCTTCTGGACGAAGCTGGGGCTGTGAGGGAAGCCTGGGTCCTGAGTGCCAGAGGGAAGCTGGTGGGGGCAGCTGGAGGAAGGAAGGCCTACTCTTGCACGAATTTCGTGCATCGGGCCTCTAGTTTATTAAAATTCTGAACATTCTAATGAGGCAAAAGGTTTCCAAACCCTGCTCCCAGGGATCAAATGAACTCAGGGTGACCTCAAATCCCAATGTACCTGTTTGGATCCTTTCCTAGCAGTAAAAAAAGCATCACAGTTCTTCCAGCGACATTTCAGAGTCTGAAAGTTCGGATTTGTATGGTCAGTCAGCAAATGTTGTTTTAAGTGATCCACAACGCCAAATATCAGAGAGCAACCATGCCACTGGAGAGAAATAGAATGAAAAAGTTAAAAAGGGTACCAGAAACATGCAAATAGACCATTCCTATTTGTATACCATAAATTTAATGGAAACAAAAAATAAGCCCCTTATTATTTAATTTATTCTTGCCTAACAAAACAAAGCCAGAGACAACCAAATTAATGATCAATATGACAAGGAACCTTGAAAAGACTGGGAAGTCTTCTAACATTTTGGTATTTTAAGAAGGCAAAGCACTAAGTTAGCCAGTACATCGTTAAGTTAATAAATATGTATAGACAAGTTACCATAAAATTCAGTTTATATCATACTTATTCTTTATCTTGCCATCATAAAATGAGTTTCTTTGTCCATTTATTTAAAAAGACAAAGAGTGTTCCTGTGATACTGAAAGGGCTGTTTTGAACAATTCTAAGAACTACTGACATGTAAACTTAAAGGTAAAAGTGCCTGATTAAAAAGAAAAAAAAATTTGTGGAAATATGTGCTGTAGCAAACTGTTTGCCATGGAAGCTGGCTTTCCACAAATCTTATCACCTGAATCACAGTATTGTGACCATCTACTTTTTTTTTTTAACTATAATTTTACTTCTCAATGTGACTAGATTCCAATCATTAGTCAGAAAGCATAAGGACTCTTTGTCTTGGCTTTTTCCCTACAGGCTTGCTTGTAATAAATCTTAACATGTTCATTTCTAAAATGCAATACAAATTTGAGCACTTCCTGTCAGTACCTCCCATCTCTCTAGCTTTAAAACCAGACAGTATTTTCCCCATTTCTCTAGATAAGCTAACTCTGTATTTGTATACTCTGCATCCTGTTATACTAGATTTGCTTTTCTTCATTAAGAAGACTAAAAAGCAAACAGTAATGTGTAAAAAGCTGCAAAGTAATTAAGCTGTGGACAAGCCCAAAATCAAATTTTAAAATAGAATTTATTCCATCAATCTAAAAAGAAGGTTAGGGTTTGGGGGAGGGGGGGAATTCAGTGTCATAAACTTTTCTTTGGTCACTGATATTAGAACTGATGAAACAAATTAAGGCTTATAAGGGATAAGTGTGAACATTTTGAGGGTTAATCACCTGCACCCACCCCAAAACAAAAACTACGCAATTTAGCCTAGAAAGCTGAAGTTTAACACTTAAAGAAGACAAATTTTTATTTGCCTATCCCCCCAAAACCAATGAGAACACAAACCAAAATATTAATATGTGTAATCGGTAAGGAATGGATGTAGATTGGGCAGGTCAGGAAAATAAACACTTTTACTTTTTCATATACTTATGCACTGTTGATATATTTGTAAGAATGTACTGATTTTATAATAAAACAAAATAAAAACCACCCGGTAGATAACCCGAGTGGAGGGTATTTAAATATACTTCATTTCCAATCTTAAAACAGATTTTCCATTAAAGAAATATAGAAAAGCATTAATGTACATTTTTAAAAAATAAGCTTCCTTGTCCTACAGTGGAATGCATAAAGTGGGTGCTCAAACAGAAAAAAGCTACGCTGATGACAATGAAGGTCTATGAATTAGCCTGGAGTTAAGCAACTCCGAACAGTTTCACTCCTTACCCAGCAGCGGTAATTCTGCATCAGATTTAGCCTCACGGCCTGAATACTGCCATCGTAACAGCCAGTATAAATCTGGAGAAAGAGGTTTATCACATCAGACGAATACACACACACCAAAAAACAACTATGAAACATCCTCAAAATAAGAGTCAAAAGCTACTTATAGCAACTTAAGAAAATACTGACATTAAACCAATACCAGTCCCATGGTACAATGGGAAAGTATCCTCTAGCTCTTTTCTTCTAGACCCTTTGACGCTGTGCTCCTTCCAGAGCCGCTCTAGGGACCCTGGCTCACAGCTCAACTGGCAGCTCAGAGGCATCACCTACACTTGAACTGGCGCAGCTCTGGCTTCCACAGGGCATTCCGTATTAGGCATCTGTATGTCATTGGAACACAGGGTTCTACTACTCAGAGTCTGAAAAACCATCCATTCTTGTTCAACTTCATAATTTAAAAATAAAATAAGTCAAGGATTAGCAGAGTTAAATGGGCTAGCTAGCTTCTACTTTTAGGCATGCTATAACTATGTCATACTGGCCAAAACTCATGACTCCAATATTCTGTTCAGATCATAATGTCTCTGGAAAAAGCACACTCTTTTTTAAAAAAAACATCTTAAATTTATCTTCTACTTAATGGTACTATCAGATTTTTATTGCAATTATTTAGCTATTAATAGAAAATGAAATATTCAACAATATTACTAGGTTTTATCTTAATAACAGTATGCCAAGAAATAGAAAGGCAATCAATAATGAGGCATATCAGAAACAGATGTCATTTTTGGAAGTGACAAGTATTAACATTATTATCAGTTTGTAGAATTTTTAGTAAATACATTCAAAGGCAAATGTGTGGCATGGCAAACAACACTCACCATACTTTTGTGGATGGTCATACACATAATCATGTCTTTGTGTCCTCCATAAACTTGCAATCGATCATGGGACTTAGGTGGAGAGAAAAAACAAAAAGAGAATTAAGGTTATTTACACCTTGTGATTAATAAGCATAGTCCCTGAAGGCCTTTGGCAGGTTAAAAACTATATGTGAGGCACCTGTAGCATTTTTTTTTTTAAATCCTCACCTGAGGATATGTTTTTGGTTTTTGTAAACTGATTTTTAGATAGAGAGGAAGGGAGAAAGAGAGAGACAGAGAGAGAAAGAGAGAGAGAGAGAGAGAGAGAAACATCAATGTGAGAAACATTGATCGAAAACCTCTACTACATGCCCAGGGATTGAACCTGCAACCTGGGTATGTGTTTGACCAGGAATCAAACCCGCAACCTTTGGTGTATAGAATGGTGCTCCAACCAACTGAGCCACCCAGCCATGGTTCAGTAGCATTTTAACAGAAATATAATCTAGCCTTAGCTGTTTTGGCTCAGTGGCTCATGGGCCGGCAGACCGAAGGGTCCTGGGTTTGATTCCGGTCAAGTGCACATACCTTGGTTGCAGGCTCCTCCCAGGCACAGGCCCTGGTCAGGGCATGCGGGAGGCAACCAACTGATGTGTTTCTCTCACATGGATATTTCTCTCTGTCTTACCCTCTCTCTCCCACTCTCTCTAAAATCAATTGAAAAATATCCTGGGGTGAGAATTAAAAAAAACAAGAAAAAGAAATATAATCTAGCTCTAGCCAGTTTTGCTCAGTGATTAGAGTGTTGGCCCATGGGACTGAAGGGTCTCGGGTTCGATTCCCAGTCAAGGGCACATACCTCAGTTGCTGGCTCAATCCCTAGCCCTGGCTAGGGTGCATGCAGGAGGCAGCCAATCAATGTGTCTCTCCCACATCGATGTTTCTCTCTCGCCCCCGCCCCCTCCCCCCACTCCTTACCTTCCACTCTCTACAAATCAATGGAAAAATATCCTTGGGTGAGAATTTTAAAAAAGAAAAATATACTCTAATGGCAATCTTTCTAATAAGTCCTCCTCCTAAGGGAGAAGCTGGTAATTGGAATTAATACAACCAATTTCTGTAGTTTCAAAGTCTCCAACTTCAAATTGCATTTAGGGAAGTAGATGGGTTTAGAGCAGGGATGGGCAAACTTTTTGACTCGAGGGCCACAATGGGTTCTTAAACTGGACCGGAGGGCCGGAACAAAAGCATGGATGGAGTGTTTGTGTGAACTAATATAAATTCAAAGTAAACATCGTTACATAAAAGGGTACGGTCTTTTTTTTTTTTTAGTTTTATTCATTTCAAACGGGCCGAATCCGGCCCGCGGGCTGTAGTTTGCCCACGGCTGGTTTAGAGACTGCAGTTGCTGCCCAGAAACCATTTAAATTTTGATACCTATGAGGCTGATCACGCATCCCAGAGCAGCGTTTCTGAAAGCACAGTCCGGGAATCAGCTGCTTCATGACTACCTAGAGTGCCTGTGAAGAATGCCGATTCCTGGGCCCCAACCCAACCTTACTATATTAAAATGTCAATATCAAACGTAAGTAGACAGTCTCCCCAAATCATTCAAGCAAAATACTGGATCTAAATTCTACCTGTAATTCGTAGACACGAACAAATTTATCCAGGCAAGCAGTCACCATCACTTTTCCCAGGATGTTCACCACAGTCACTGCATGATTGTGACCTTTATAGATCCGCACGAGCTCCCCAGTCTGCATCGGGAGAGAGAGGAGTCAGTAGACTTTCCAGGTATCTTCCTACTTTGAGATGTATGATTCTCTAATTCTAAAAGTCATAATTCTGAGGCTTCCTGTACAACCACATAGCTACACTAATTATAACAGCTGGGGTACTCTTACAAGCATTTGTTACCCACACAAACTATATGAAATGTATCCTGATGGAGAAAACTTAGTGTCACAGAAAAAGAAGGGTCACAGCTCTATCTGTATGTACTTTATAGCTTCCGAAGTACAGTTGATCCTTGAACAATGCAGGGGTTAGGGGCGCTGGCCACAAGCAGTTGAAAATCAGCATGTAACTCTTGACTCCCCTAAAAGTTAAGTTGTCCCTCAGTATCTATGGAAGAATGGGACTAGGACCATACCCCAATATCCTAAAGATACCAAAATCCTAGGTTCAAGTCCTCTATATAAAATGGCATAGAATAGTGCATACAGTCAGCCCTCCACATCTACGGACTCATAATCACAAATCAACAACAGTACAGGTATTTATTGGGGAAAAATCCACATATATATATATATATGGACCCAAGTAGTTCAAACCTGTATTGTTCACAGGTTAACTATATTTTCACTTTTATCATTTCATTGGATCTGGGTAAGTCCCTGAGCACTTGGATTATCCCCAGGTTTACAGACCAGGAACGAGGCTTCAAAGAGTTGCCTCTATGACGTGAGCAGTCTCTCAGCTGTTTTCGTTAGTTCTATTTTAAACTATATATCATATCCACTTTCTTAGCGCCTCAGATGCTCAATTTATCTCGTCTAAATGCAGCATTCAAACTAAACCTTACATAAACATTGAGTCTGTCCCCTATTAAAAATTTTGATGAGGTCAGAATTTCTAGGGTACTCAGTATTATCTAAGAGCCCATGCATAGGGATTATTATTAAGCCTCTCACTGGAAAAGGGGCTTAATTTACATTGTAAGAGATCTGACGAATCTTTCAAGCTTTAACCACCATTCTACTAAAGATTTCTTTACGCCAACAGGGCTTACATGAATGTTGTGGGCATGGACTGACTGGTCACTGGAGCCACTGAACACAAGGTCATTCACCACCTTAAAGAAAAGAATTCAATGAGTTAGATTCGGTACAAGGTTCTGGGTTTCCTCTGTAACTTGCAATGTAAATTGGTGAATTCTCATTTTGATGAGCATAGACTAGGTATAAAATAAATTTCTCAAATTTTCTGAACTGAAACGTATGTCCTATCACCAGGTACTCTGATGAATTGACAATGTATATTTGGGAATGTTACCTCTTCAGAATGATTATAGAGAAGGGCATTAGAATGTATCTATAGTCTATAGTAAAATACACTTTTATTGTTTCTAAGTTAACATATTAAAAATAGCACATCCCTTGGTGACCCCGGCCTGAGGAAAAGGACTGTAACCTCCTTCCGCTTTTCAAGATGACTGTGTTCTAAATAAGGCATCAGACAACACGGAAAACGTCATTCAAACCGTCCACTTGTGCCAGGCAGCTGGCTCCTGTTCTGCCCTGTACTTGCCTTCATGCAGAGAATGGTCTTGCTGTGGCCCTCCAGGGTTCTGAGGAGGAGTCCATTCCGCGCGTCACGCACACTAATGGTACAGTCGTAAGACCCCACGACCAGCAGCTTTCGGGCACCTTCCTGAGCTGTGGCTAGACAGCTAACTGCCCGAGGGCCATGGCATTCAAAGATTTCGAGTCGTTTGTTGTTCTGAAAAATAAGTCACCATTATATGGAGTAAAAGCAACTTAGCTGGTAAACCTCAAAATCAACTAACCCAAATCACTACCTTAACACAAACTAAATTCTACTACCTGCACTTAAGTTCTCTTACCCATTCCCCAATCTTTAACTTCCCACCTCTGCCGTTCCTGTGCCAACTCCTTGTGTTCATGAGTCTCTCCGCCCCATTCCAGTGGGGGCAAACTCTCACCTTATGAGTTCATTTCTAACTTCAACCACACTGTCCTGATCATAATTGGAACCTGGTTCTCTTTTTACGCCCTCCTTCACGTTAAGTTAATGATAATGAATGATCACCTTTTTTCATACTCTTATTTTCTATGTCACAGTCCCAGGAACTCCTTCACTATTTTTCCCCCCAAAGTTGAGAATGACTTTCTTAGACAATTTCAGTAAGAGTCTGTCCTCCACCTCTCTGCTATTCTGATGTTACTGACTTCTAGTTCTATGGCATCTTTCAGGACATCTTCTAGTGGAGCACAGAAGCCTTTGTATCAGTCAGAGTCCCATGGTCACATCCTGAATTCCCAAACATCCCTTTCTCTCAGATCTCAGACTTGTTTCCCTCATCCCCACACCAATCTTGTTCATAAAGTCTCCCACTTCCCCAAAACCTCAAAAAATGTACTTGAGGTGCATGCATGGGGTAAAACTCCCAGAAACTAAATAAGCACAGAGCAGCACAGCTGGGGGCCTGCAGAGCTAAGCAACGATTTCAGCCACCCTGAGGTGCTAGGGAGACAGACTGAGAGTTCGGCCCATGGGTGGAAAACCCTGGTAAACTGCTTTGGCTTTCAAGCACAGCATTCTAGGAGTTCGGCAAGGCTTCAAAATTCACATCTCTGCAGAGTCTCAAATCTCTGCCTTGAGGTCCATCTTCTCTGGTTTTTCAACCATTTAAAGACTATTTGAATTTCTTGTCATCATCTTTCAACTAAGATGCTCCTGACTTCTATCTACCTTTGATACATTAAACTAATAAAAGAGAAAAGAATTAGGTAATTATCAAATTTCATTGATTAAAATCGTTTGAATGTATTCTTTCTTCTTTATTTCTATTACCCTAACCAAATCTAATCTAGGCTATTAGCACTTCACATCTGGAATGCAAAAACCTTCACTAATTACCCTTCTGTAATCTATTCCTATCAAGTGAACCAAATAACTTGGTGCTTGAGTATATGTGCTAGCTTCTTAAAGACAGAAACCATGATGTATTTTACAACTCTTATATGAATGATACTATAATTGGGTATAACATAGTAAACATTCTAATATGTCTACCATGCTGCTAAAAGATGACAAGATGACCTTGAGATATAGTGCTACAACATAGTAGTAACCAAACTCATCAATTCCATCTCTTAGATTACATCTCTTATCCATTCTCTTCTCTTCATCCTTGGTCTAACCCAGTGGTCGGCAAACTGTGGCTCGCGAGCCACATGCGGCTCTTTGGCCCCTTGAGTGTGGCTCTTCCACAAAATACCGACTTCTGCGCATGGGCCACGAAGTTTCAATCACACTGTACGTGTGCGCCCGCATGTGGTATTTTGTGGAAGAGCCACACTCAAGGGGCCAAAGAGCTGCATGTGGCTCGCGAGCCGCAGTTTGCCGACCACTGTAACCTTTCATGTCAGCTTCCATTAGAAAGCCTCCCAAATGGTCTCCCTGCCTCTACTATTACCAATATTTTCCAATCTTATCAACTCCAGAGTGACTTTTTCTAAAATACAAATTGGATCATGTATCTCATATGTTAAAACCTACAAAACGGCCCTAACCGGTTTGGCTCGGGGGATAGAGCGTCGGCCTGCGGACTCAAGGGTCCCAGGTTCGATTCCGGTCAGGGCATGTACCTTGGTTGCGGGCACATCCCCAGTAGGGGGTGTGCAGGAGGCAGCTGATTGATGTTTCTCTCTCGTCGATGTTTCTAACTCTCTATCCCTCTCCCTTCCTCGCTGTAAAAATCAATAAAATATATATTTTTTAAAAACCTACAAAATGAAGTCCAACTTCATTAGCAAAGCACACAGGGTCATCAAGAATTGGTCCCTACTCATTTCCTAAGCCTCATCCTGGGGCCTAGCACATAACAGATGCTCAATAAAGGTTCGCTCAACAAATGAATCTATCTTTGAGTTAGGAAAGGATGAGGTCTCGTGGGCATGAAGACAAACCTCTGACTTAGTTCACGTTATAGAACAGGCTACCCTCATGAAACCCAAATCAGTTCCAAACCACATCAGTGTCATACTCAAAGGAACTTAAGCTCATTTTTCAGGGTGTCATTCCTAAAAATGAGATAGACTAGTTTAACTTGTGACTCATTATTTGGCTCCAAATCGTCGGGCTTGGTTTAATTTAGCAGAGTTACATTTTGGTCCTGGCACACTTGGGTCTGTACAGACAGAATGCAGGATCTTATATCACCTACACCCAATGATAAGAGTTTTTGAGTAGTGGTTAATCCACTGCTTTCTCACGTACGCAAACAAGAAAATGTCCGTCTTCCACTTCTTCCCCAACAAGTTTCCATTTCTTTCCACACACATCTCACACTACTTTCAAGTGGCATGGGAACTCAGCCTTCTCTCCCCAACCACTAACCTCTATGTTGAAGGTGACCACAGTGCCATTTGCTAGTCCTGCATAGAGGATTCGCCATCTACTGTGAAGACAGAGGACTCGGTCGTCCAGCTGTAACTGCTCCAAACACTCTCGCGTCTGATAAAAGTACACAACACCTAATCAGCAGAGGTTAAGCAAGCAAAATGTGAAACCCCCTTCTGAAAGCAGAGTATGAAATGATTTTATGAGGAAGAAGTATCATCTATTTTATAGAAGGCCATCTTAGATATTTTTTCTCCTTTGAAATATGTGGCCAAAGACTCTCAAGCTGTAGGTAATAACAAAAACAAATGTAAATTCTATAATGTTACCCATATTCCTAATATGGAACGTAGAAATTCTTCAAAGGGCACTAGGAATGGAGTATTAACCTCTTAAATTAAGTAGCCAAAGATAAAGTTAAAGCTGTATTTGACATCTAAAAAGAAAATTATAGTTGTATATGTAATAGCATTAATGAAATATGTGCTTTCCTGCAATTGATTCTCTATTTTAATAGCTCCCAAGTATCTTGTTCAAACCAGTGTCAGGTTAGCCGATCCATAATTACCCATGCCTTTAAAATATATAGAACCCCAAGCTTCACATCCAATCCCTAGGTTCTAATTCAGTAGGCCCTAGATTATGTATTTTTTAAAATGTCCTTAGCAATTTTGATGCATATCCAGATTAAACAAACACTCTTTAATCTGACCTTCAAGAAACAATTTTGATAAATTTCCAGAACTGGGTTATATTAGCAACTTTAATTTCCTAGAACCTAGAATAGGCCCAATAACACACTAAGTGCTCAAGATTTGCTGTTAATGATACCAAGCAACTAAATGCCCAAGCGTATCTTTTAAAACAGGTTTGGACAGAGATGGTAAAATTAAGATGGTTTTAAGTGGGTAGGATGTGACAAGCTGTGGGTAGAATGAAAAGCTGTAGGCTGTGAAAGCCCTTGTTTTCTTCTCCCATTCTTCTCTCATACCTAAGAGAGTCAGTCTTTTAAATTTCTCCCAGAAAATTACAAATATAAATGCCACACATGAAGTTGTAAAAAAAAAAAAAGTAACTGTTGCCTCTGATTAGTGCAATCTCTTTGTAATTTTATAGAGGAAATTGAATTCTATATAATGATTTTTAACAAAAGAACTATTGGCACATGCAACATGAACTTCAGATATTATGGTGAGCTAAAGCTAATACAGGCAGTGTTGTTTATTTTGATGAAGTTCAAGCACAAACTCTTTAATGATAGATGCAGAGAGAAAGTGGGAAGAAAGAAGCATCTGTCTCAATGTCTCCACTCTACATAGTATAAATACAGTCAAAGCCGGTCAATATTATCACTTTTGATTTCTCTGAACCCACTTGCCTTAACATTATAGCAGCGAATGGTGTGATCACTGGAACCAGTGTAAAGGGCAGCATTCTTCCCAGAGGTTTGAGTAACCAGGAGGCAGTTCACTTTCGAAGTATGGCCCTCAAAGACACCAATGCACTTCCGACTCTAAAGTCAAGCACAGATCAGATTATTACTTATGGGTATAGAAGGATCAGATACTGCCTTTCCTCAACAAAAAAATGCTAGAACATAACAGTTCGCTGCTGCATCCTCAGTGCCTAGGAAAGTGCCTGGTATACAAACAGTGCTCAGTAAACATGTGATCAATAATGCCCAGCAAATGGCCACATGCAGTAAGGTACTTCCAACTATGTTAGCTGAGTCATACCAAAAAATACTTAGGGCAATTCACTATAAGGTTGGTAAGAATTTTAATTAATGCCTAGGGCAAGGCTGTCCAACACATAAACCAAAGATCTACCAAATCCAAACTGAGGCTAATTACCCAGACAAATCCCTGCATTTGATTCAGTAGCTTATGAAAATGCTCCATAATAGTCTAAGACATGTCAGGTGTCTTCACAGGTCCCAGTGGTCCAGGTATGGTTTCATAAGGGGACAGCCTAATCGTTATCTGTGCTATCTCTGAGATCTATTTAGAATGTACACATATAAAGGGTGTCCCAAAATTCACGCAAAAAGTAATTTTGATAGAAAACACAGGTTTATAATTAAAAATTGTAAATTTTTTATTGATTCATAAAGTATACTGTATAGGGTTATGTATGGAATAGCATATCGGGTAAATGTCCTCCACGGCTTTGCTGGCACATACGCACTCTTTTGTTGAAATTTTCCATGACCGTTTTGCATAAATGTGGCTGAATTTTG